GGAAGAAGAGGCTGACCTGGGATTCTGTCCTGACCAGGGTGGAGCCCACAGCAAGGCCAGAACAGTCTCCCCACGAGGGACGAACACGCAGCTCAGTGGCATCTGTCCTCCCTCACCTAGCTCTGCAGTCCCTCTGGGCCCAGAGTGATGGTCGTGAAGGCACTGACCTCAGATGCAAAATGAGAGGATGCTCCAAATACTCAGTATCAGAGAAATCCCTTCGTAATGTCAAATAAAATGATTTAATGCATTATTTTAAAAATCAGGTCAGGTGTGGTGGCTCACACTTGTAGTCCCAGCAGTTTGGGAGGCCAAGGCCAGAGGATGACTTGATGTCATGAGCTGGAGACCAGCCTGGCCACCATGGTAAAACCTCGTTTCTACTAAAAAGACAAAAATTAGCCAGGTGTGGTGGTGGGCGCCTGTAATCCCAGCTACTGGGGAGGCTGAGGCATGAGAATCTCTGGAACCCGAGAGGCAGTGGTTGCAGTGAGCCAAGATCGCAGTACTGCAGGCCAGCCTGAGTAACAGAACCAGACTCTGTCTCAAAAAAAGAAAAATAAGAAAAGAAAATCATCTTGGGAACTGGGGTTTGGTGCCCCTTCTAATCTTGTGTGGGAGGCTGCCCCGCACCCAGCCTCACCTGATCCAGGCTGTCCCTCCCTGCTCACAAAAGACGGCCTCACACCTTGCTTTCTTTTCTAGGCTTCAAACAGTCTCAGTTTCCCTGAAGGCTGCCATGCAGAGCTGTGCCTCCTGGACCTGATTTCCTTTTGGAAGCTGGACCTGGCCCAGCGCTACCGGGTCACCTGCTTCATCTCCTGGAGCCCCTGCTTCAGCTGTGCCCAGGAGGTGGCTGAATTCCTTCAAGAGAACCCACACGTGAACCTGCGCATCTTCGCTGCCCGCATCTATGATTATCGTCCAGGATATGAGGAGGGGCTGCGCAGGCTGCACAGAGCTGGGGCCCCAATTTCCATGATGAAATACAGTGGTGAGAATGGAAGCCTGGAGTGGGGTGGGGTCAGCCAGGGCAGGAGAGGGCCCTGGGGAGTTTCTAGACAGTGGGGAGGGCGGGCATCCCTGGGGGAGAGGCCTTGGTCTGCTGCCTGCAGAGGCGAGGGCTGCACTCTGGGCCTGACTTTGGGGTCTATGGGAAGAGAGAGGCCAGGCCAGGAGATGGGGGCCTGGGAAGGGCGGGGAGGGTGGCTGGAAGTGGAAGACAGACTTGGGGCTTCCAGAAGAATGAGGACTCCTCCTGAATCCCTTCCATCCCCAGGCTTCCTCCCTCACACCCCACCCTCTTTCTCCCTGCTCCCCACATCCATTGGCACCTATCAGGAGGGGCTCCCGCTCACTTGCTGGAGCCTCCAAACCTCCCCCTCTGACCCCTTCTGGGGCTCACTGGGAGATCCCTGCAGCCCTGGGGCCTGTCGGGGCCTTGCAGGGTCTCCCAGGGTCAGCTTCCTGTGCTCAGGCCCTCTGGGGAGGCCCCTGCTCTTCTCCCTGGCCCAGATTCCAATGGGAAGGAAGTGACTAATACAGAGCGAAATCCTGAGGGGAGTGGGAGGAACAGGAGGGACTGAAACCAGCCTGTGGAAGTTTGTCCTGAGAGTCAGGGCCCTCGGTGCCTCCTTCCCACAGGGGTACATGACTTATCTCCCCTGTCCCTTTTTCAGAGTTTAGGTACTGCTGGGACACCTTTGTGGATCACCAGGGACACCCCTTCCAGCCCTGGGAGGGACTAGATGAGCACAGCCAAGCCCTGAGTGGGAGGCTGCAGGCCATTCTCCAGGTGAGGGCTTCCTCCCTCTGCCCAGAGCCCAATCGGCCTCTCCTCCTCCCCTCTCCCTCTGGGCCTTGCCTTCCCCTCTGCTCAGAGCCTCCTCTGGGTTCCCTGCTCCCCCCGGGTGCCCAGCTCTGTCTCTCCCTGTCCTTCTCAGAGCCTCCCTCTCTCTCCCACCTCCCGTGTCCCCCCACCTCTCCTGTCATTGTCCCTGTCCCCAGGCCTCCTCCCTGTGCCCTCTTTCTACTCTCTGTCCCTGCTCCATTCAACTCCCTGCTCTTCCTGAATCAGGGAAACTGATGGATGAGCCTCAGTCTCTAAGGAAGGCAGAGACCTGGGCTGAGCAGCAGAATAAAAGATCTTCCAAGAAATGCAAGCAGGCTGTTCACCACCATCTCCAGCTGATCACAGACGCCAGCAAAGCAATGAGCTCCTCACAAGTAGATTATTTTAAAAATTAGAGCGTGTAAGGCCGGGCACGGTGGCTCAAGCCTGTAATCCCAGCACTTTGGGAGGCCGAGGCGGGTGGATCACGAGGTCGAGAGATCAAGACGACCCTGGTCCACATGGTGAAACCCCGTCTCTACTAAAAATACAAAAAATTAGCTTGGCATGGTGGCACATGCCCGTAATCCCAGCTACTCAGGAGGCTGAGGCAGGAGAATTGCCTGAACCCAGGAGGCGGAGGTTGCGGTGAGCCGAGATCGCGCCATTGCACTCCAGCCTGGGTAACAAGAGCGAAACTCCGTCTCAAAAAAAAAAAAAAAAAAAAATTAGAGCATGTAATGTTAACGTAGTGAAAGGAGAACAGACCCTAAGCCAGGCAAAGCACCTTTTGTTAACCTGACTGGCTGTCTTGTAACAGTCAGAGGAGGCGGCCCCGAGCTTATAAAATGAGGGGTTTACATGGGGTGAAAGGAGCATAATGGAGTTTCAGGACTGAGATAATCTGTCAGCTTGTAACAGGCACAGAGATATTTTGTTTACTTGTGACTTACTTACAATACATCATCCTGTGACTTTTGTGGGGACAGTTTTTTTTAAAAAATCAGGATTTTACAGATATGTGTTAAGCAGGAATTTACAAGTGTGGATGGCAAACATTGGTTTTCCCTGTCCTCTCCCAAGCTGCCCAGATGGCTGTAATCAGGCTTTGCTTAATTGTAACAGGTCTGGTAGCCTTGACCTGGCACCCAGATAGGAGTTCAGAAACGCAGCTGCAGAGCACTCGGAGTGCGGAGGACTCAGCCTGCATGGAGGGGGTTTTCTGAGGCAGCTTGTCCCTAACAGAACAAATTACTTTTAATCAAAAATGTATGTGATGCTTCAAGAATACAGTAGTGAGATTGTGCTCAGAAAGGTTTCAGACCTACTAATCCAGTGATAATTGAATTGGCTTTATGTGAAAACCTTCGCTCTGAATGAGGAGACCCCCAAACAGGCTTTGTGTGAGCAACATGGCTGTTTATTCATACGGGTGTGGGCGGGCTGAGGCCGAAAATGGAGTCAGCAAAGAGTAGTGGGATAGGAGTTGATTTTATAGGTTGTGAGGAAGGCAGTGGAAAGTTACGAAAGTTACTTTAGGGCGTTTTTTTGGAAGCTGGGAGGGGGTCGTAGGTTTGCAAGCTGGGAGGGGGTTGTAGGGTGTGGAGTCAAGGTCGTTTACAAAGTCCAACGGCCTTGTCAATTGAGGGCAGAATAAGAAACAATAGAATAAGGTCTCAGGGTAGTTAGGAGCTGCAGGGGTTGATCGTTTCTTACAGGAACTCACCGGGGTGTGCATGCAGATCACAGAGATGGTCGTGCTGTTCTTGGTGTGGCCTTATACTTTATGTAGAAGAATAAAATGAAATACTAATTTTTTTTTTGAAATGGAGTCTCACTTTGTCACCAGACCTGGAGTGCAATGGCATGGTCTCGGCTCACTGCAACCTCCACCTCCCAAGTTCATGCAATTCTTCTGCCTCAGCTTCCCAAATAGCTGGGATTACAGGCGTGGAACACCACACCCTGCTAATTTTTATATTTTCAGTAGGGACAGGGTTTCACTATGTTGGCCAGGCTGGTTGCAAACTCCTGAACTCGTGATCCACCTGCCTCGGCCTCCCAAAGTGGTGGGATTATAGGAGTGAGCCACCATGCCCAGCCGGGATCATATGTTACAGGCATGTATGTTCGATAAGCACGGAGCGGAGCGCAACCACCAGCATGAACATTCCTAGCTTCTCCTATATCCTGTTGAATATGTATGTTTCGCCAACCCCTTCAGCATAAAGCTCCTGCCCCAACCCCTCCTGCTTCTAAAGGTCTGTCTCTGGTGTTTCCCAGAGGCTGCTCTTCCCAGCCTGCGGGATGGCTACCTTGCAGGCTGTCACCCTTAACAAGAAATAAAAGTTTCCTTTCTGAATTTATATGTTGTGAAATGTTTAGTTAACTGCACCATGGGAGCACACTACTAGGGGAAGGGAGCTGTGAGATGCACAGGTTGGCCTGAGACACCAGCCACTGCTTTCATGACATGGGACAAGAGGAAGGCAAGAGCTCAGCCCACCAGGGAGGAGATCCAGGCAGGAGAAGTGGAAGAAGGAGAAGCCGGAAGGAAGGAGCTCAGTGTGGGAGTGCCCATGACATCCTGGTGGGCCAGCTGGGGGCCACACCCACCTGCTGTCCCTCCTTCCCATGCTGGCCTCCGAGTGTGAAGGCGTGGGGGCGGGGAGGATGTAGACACCTGGCCCTTCACTCTCCCTTCCTGTCCCCATGGCGGCTGGGTGGGGTGTCTCTGGGATGATCCTTGAGGGCAGGATCCAGGAGTCCGTGCAGAGGCTTCAGCTTGTCTGTCTTGATGGTGGAGAGGTGGCTCCAGCTGACCTGGACCACCAGGGAGGGGCCTCTGCTCTGCTGGCTCAGCCTAGTGTGGACCCACCTCCCCAGCTCTGGCTGAAATGACTTTCTCTTTCCCTTTGCAATTCCCTTGGGTCCTGCCGCACAGAGCAGCCTGCTTTATCAGAGGTCTCTCTGCCAGGGGGAGAGCCCCCGAGAAAGAGAAAACCAGAAAGAGGGGGAGAGCCCAGAAAGATAAAGCACTCCGGAGCCTCCCGAACCAGAGCCTGAGCTGGAAGGGGGAGGGACCATGACTCACAAGGCCCTGGGCGTGGTCACTTTAAGAAGGGCTGTCCTAAAACCTGAATCCCGTAGCAGAAAGTGAAACCCTAGTGGTCCAGACAAAGATCATGGTTGGGACTAGCTGGCCACAGATGAAGCCTCAGACCAGGTATGGCTGCCCCCTCCTGCCTGGTAGCCCTGATGGGACTTAGCCCTGGCCTCCCCCTGCCCCTGGCTCACCCTGGGCTGGCTCTCTCCCCTCTGGTCCCTCTGTTGCCCCCACTCCCGGCCAGGCTCTTTGCCCCAGTGTGGTCGCCTCACTGCTGCTTCTGAATGGGCCACCTCCCCCCCCTGCCCCAGCCCAGGCCTCCTGCTGAGACTCTCTCCCCTGAAAGTCCTGGCCAGGCTGATGCTCCCTGCCCTGGGAGGGTGCTCCCTCTACGTGCCTCCCACCTTTCCTAAGCTCTGGAACTGGAAGTACTGAACCAAAGGATGACTGGAGCGATCAGGCATTTTTGTTCACAGTGCTTTGATGGATTTTCTGTAAGATTTACTTTGCTTAAATACAAAGTCTTGGGCTGGGGGTGGTGGCTCACGCCTGCAGTCCCAGCGCTTTGGGAGGCGGGTGGATCATGAGATCAGGAGTTCAAGACCAGCCTGGCCAACATGGGGAAACTTCATCTCTACTAAAAATACAAAAAATTAGCTGGGCATGGTAGCAGACATCTGTAATCTCAACTACTCAAGAGGCAGAGGCAGGGGAATCGCTTGAACCCAGGAGGTGGAGGTTGCATTGAGCTGAGATTGCGCCATTGCACTCCAGCTTGGGCAACAGAGGGAGACTCTGTCTCAAAAAAAAAAAAAAAAAAAAAGTCTTATGAGAGGTTTTTGGGGAGGGAATGGTCTCTGAAGCACAAGATAAATTATCTCTTCCAAGAATGTCTCCACTGAGGACACAGGAGGCTGCAGATGACCCCAAACACACAGTCCTCCTCCAGTGTTAAAACGGGAGCTCTGAATGAAGAGACCCCCAAACAGGCTTTGTGCGAGGAACATGGCTGTTTATTCGCCCAAGTGTGGCCACGCTGAGGCGGAAAATGGAGTCAGCAGAGGGTAGAGGGAGAGGAGTTGGTTTTATAGGTTTGGAGTTAAACAGTGGAAAGTTACAGAAGTAACTTTAGGGTGTTTTTTTGCAGGCTGGGAGGGGGTTGTAGGTTTGCAAGCTGGGAGGGGGTCGTAGGGCATGCAGTCATGAGGTTGGCCAAGGTTGGTTACAAAGTCACAAAGTCCAATGGCCTTGTCAATTGAGGCCGGAATAAGAAACAATAGTGACATTTTGGCCTGTATGATAAAAGAAGAAAGAAAGAAAGAAACAATAGAAGAATGTCTCAGGTTAGTTAGGCGTTGCAGGAGTTGATCGTTTCTTTCAGGAACTCATCTGGGGTGTGTGTGCAGGGTACACAGAGATTACCATACCATTCATGGGGCAGTCAGACCTTACATCTGGGACTGCCATTCACTGTTTATAATGACACCAGTAACATGGAATACAGAGGAAAAAACGCAACGATCAGGAGAAATGCTCTTATTTTAAAATGTAATGAGAAGAGAGCCCAGTCCCCAACAGCTCCCTCCTGCAGGGCCGGTGATGCAGAGGCTGGACAGGGCTGGCCTGGAAAGGAGCCCCAGCCCCATCAGCCCAGCTCCGTGTCCTGGGCAGGTTACCCTGCCTCTCTGTGCCTCTGGCACCTCCTCTGTAAGATGGGAATGGCCCTGCAGGCCCAGGTCAGCATCATATGAGCTCAGAACCTCGAAGCACTTAGAACAGTGGACTGGGCCTCAGCATTCAGTTCTACCGTCATTTAAAAATAATCATATAGAGGTGAAATGCCAGGAGCGACCTAAGCTGAAAGGTTAAAAGCTATTATTTGGGGGTGAAGAGTTTTGTTCTCTCTGTCTTTTTTTTTTTTAGACGGAGTTTAACTCATCGCCCAGGCCAGAGTGCAGTGGCTCCATCTCAGCTCACTGCAGCCTCCAGCTGGCAGTTCAGGCAATTCTCCTGCCTCAACCTCCAGAGTAACTGGGATTACGGGCACCTGCTACCACGCCTGGCTAATCTTTGTTTGTATTTTTAGTAGAGACACAGGGTTTCACTATGTTAGCCAGGCTGGTCTCAAACTCCTGACCTCAAGTGATCTGCCTGCCTCAGCCTCCCCAAAGTGCTGAGATTACAGGCATGAGTCATAACACCCAGCCAAGAACTTTATTCTCTTTTTCATTTTCCCAATTGGAGAGTGGGTAGGCAGAAATTTTGGGAGGGTGAGCAATGTACCCATGGAAAGACCAGAGCTGGGCCCTGAGCGGGAAGAGGTTACCCTGGCCCTGCTGCCCCTGCCACCATCCTCTTCTTTTGTTCTCTCTATGGTCTTTTTTTTTTTTTTTGAGATGCAGTCTTGCTGTGTCACCAGGCTAGAGTGTAATCAGATGACCTTGGCTCACTGCAACCTCCGCCTCCCGGGTTCAAGATTCCCCTGCCTCAGCCTCCCTAGTAGCTGAAATTACAGGCATGGCACTACCACGCCTGGCTAATTTTTTGTATTTTAGTACAGACGGGTTTTCACCATGTTGGCCAGGATGGTCTCGAACTCATGACCTCATGATACACCCGCCTCAGCCTCCCACAGTACTGGGATTACAGGCATGAGACACCCAGCCATCTCCCTGGTCTTCCTGCCTGGGCAGGCAGCAGAAATTCTCAGGCCTGTGGAGGGATAGGGGAGGCCCAGGGCTGTCCAGCGAGCTGTGTAGAGTGGACATCAGCCCGGAGGGCTCCAGGGAGCGCTGTCCGCATTGGCTGGTTTCTCTCTTGTGTCTTCAGAAACACGGTGGTGCGAATGGATCCAGACACATTCTTCTACAACTTTTATAATAGACCCATCCTTTCTCATCGGAATACCGTCTGGCTGTGCTACGAAGTGAAAATGAAAACAAACGACCGCTCAAGGCCCCCTTTGGTTGCAAAGATCTTTCAAGGCCAGGTACCCCCCAGACTCTAATTAATTTGCAGGCAGGAGCTAAGCCAGCTGGGGAAGCAAAGCACGCACTGATCAGTGAGATGCCCTGCAGTGGGCTATCCAGTGTGTACTTTTCTCCCGTGTTTTTCAAGTCCGTGGACCTGACGTGCTGGCTTGACCGTTCTGGGATCCGATCGTGGGGGTATGCCTCTTATTAAATAGCCTTTTTTTTTTCTTTTTTTAAGATGGAGTTTTGCTCTTGTTGTCCAGGCTGGAGTGCAATGGCGCTATCTCGGCTCACTGGAACCTCTGCCTCCTGGGTTCAAGCAATCAGACTCCTGAGTAGCTGGGATTACAGGTGCCTATCACCATGCCCAGCTAAATTTTTTGTATTTTTAGTAGAGATGGGGTTTCATCGTGTTGGCCAGGCTGGCCTTGAGCTCCTCACCTCAGGTGATCCACCTGCCTTGGGTTCCCAAAGTGTTGGGATGACAGGCATGAGCCACCTCGCCTGGCCTAATTTTAATATTTTATTTAATCCAATGTAGCTAACATATTACTTCAACATTAATTAACATAAAATTCTTCACAAGACAGTGAAGTCTTTTTCTTCTCACACCGAGTCTTTGAAATGAGCAGTGTAGGCCACGCACAGTGGCTTGTGCCTATAATCCCAGCACTTTGGGAGGCCAAGGCAGGCGGATCACCTGAGGTTAGATGTTTAAAACCAGCTTGGCCAACAGCATGAAATCCCATCTCTACTAAAAATCCAAAAAAAAAAAAAAAAAAAAAAAAAAAAAAAAAAAAAAGCCAGGTGTGGTGGTGCACGCCTGTAATTCCAGCTACTCAAGAGGCTGACTCAGTAGAATCACTTGAACCCATGAGGCAGAGGTTGTGGCGAGCCGAGGTCACACCATTGCACTCCAGCCTGGGCAACAAGACAAAACTCTGTCTCAGAGAGAGAGAGAGAGAGAAATGAGCTGTGTATTTTTCCTGTGCTCAGGTCTCTCATCAGGCTCCATTTCAAGTGCTCTGTAGCCCCCGTGGCCAATGCCCCCCCCCACCCCCCACATGGGACAGCATAGGCCCAGCAGCCTCCCAAGCAGACAGCAGGCAGGAAACGAGGCAGATCCCAGAGGGCCAGGACACAGCTGGGACTGAGCATGTCTGGTGAATGGATGCCTGGGAGAATGGATGCCAGAATTCAGGCATGAGGCTGTGAACAGGGCCAGGAAGACTACCAACAGAAGGGAAGCACGTGTCTCAGTGCACCCTGTGATGCTTCAACAGCATGACTGAAACGGGGAAATTTACAATGAACAGAAATGCGTTGGCTCCAGTTCTGGACACTAGGAAGTCCAATGTCAAGGCACCAGCAAGTTTCCGGGGCCTGCGAGCTGCACCGTCACGTGGGGGTGAAGGTTGTTGGGGAAGCTCAGGGGATGCTGCAGACAGAGCAGCCTGGGATGTGGAGTCACTGCTGCTCCACCACACGGGGACAGAGGAAGCAGGAGTTTAGTCTGACACGCTGCCCCTCCAGCTGGAGGAGAAGAGACAGAGAGAGGGGCTGAAGTCACCCTTGCATAACCACCCCAGTGGCACCCACAAAGGTGCAGTCCCCACAGCCTCATAGTTGAGTGTCAGTCCCACCTCTTAAGGCCATTGCAATAGCAATTAACACTGAACACGAGCTTTGGAGCAGACAAACTCTCAAGCCAAAGAGGGGGATGGAGGAAAGGAGCTTCAATGAACAAGCTCCCCCAGCTCTGTCCTGGCCCCTCCTCCCCCTGCCCCACCCCTGCACTCCTCCTGCTCAGTGTCCCACAGCTTCCCCTGCCCCCTCCTCTTCTCCCAGGTCTATTCGAAGCCTCAACACCACCCAGAGATGAGATTCCTCCATTGGTTCCGAAAGTGGAAGCCGCATAGTGACCAGGAGTACGAGGTGACCTGGTTTGTGTCCTGGAGCCCCTGCCCAGTGTGTGCAAGGAATGTGGCTGAGTTCCTGGCCGAGGACAGGAAGGTCACCCTGACCATCTTCGTGGCCCGCCTCTACTACTTCTGGGACCCACATTACCGGGAGGAGCTTCGCAGACTGTGTCAGAGGAGAGACAGTCCTCATGCCACCATGAAGATCATGAGTTACGGCGGTGAGAAGTGGGGGTTCAGGGGTGTGGGAGGAACTGCGTGAGGATCTGCGATGGGTGCCTCCCACACCTACCTGTGGGTCTGTGATGCCAGCAGAGGCCAAGTGTCCCAGGGGAGCCTGTGGGGTCAGGTCAGGCACTGAGTGTAACTAACATCCCGGAGTAGGTCTGGGAGGGGAGGGTCCCAGGGTCACAAAGAGAGGCCAGCTGGGTGTGACTGCGTTCTCTCTTCTTTTTCTCAGAATTTCAACACTGTTGGGACAAGTTTGTGGACAACCAAAGATTGTACAAGCCTTGGAATAAGCTGCCTAAACATTATACATTACTGCACATCACACTGGGGGAAGTTCTCGGGTGAGGGGCTCCTTCCGCCTCATCGCCTCTCTCCTCTCACCTCCTCCTGCTCATCCACCTGAGGCCCCTGCTCTGTCTCAGACCAGTTCCACTCCTGGCCGAGCCCTCCTGACCTCCCTCCTGCCCGGCTGCCTGCCCTCATGGTCACACCCCCCACCCCTACCCTCATCCCCACCTCTAGCCCCACCCCTGCTCCCTCCACCTTGCTGTCTCCCCTGCTTTCCTGGGCTCTTCCTGTGAGTGAGAGGCCCCTTCTGCCTCCAAAGTGACCTCCATCCACCCCCGAGACTGCCCTCCCCTCAGCCTGGAAGCCACAGCTTGGCTTCTTCCATCTCCCAGGCGTGAATATTCACAAGCCCTACAGAAGCTTTCAGCAACATCCTTAAAGGCCAACCTAAGCCCCTGAGAAGGAGCCGCCTTTATGGAAACAGAGCTTCAGGCTTCGGCTGCCATAGAAGATGGCCCCGGGCTGGGCACTCACAGGGCAGCTGTTTATTTTCTTACAGATGTGGAGGCTGCAAGTTCAAGGTGGAGCCATCAGCTGGGTTGTTTCCTCTGAGGCCCGAGGCCACTCCTCCTGGCTGGCAGGGGTCCCTCCCAGCCGTTGCCCTCTGTGGCCTTTGCTCTGTGAACCTGCACCCCTGGCATCTCTCTGCCTCCAAATGTCCTCCTGGTTTATGGACCCCAGCCAAGTGAATTTAGGCCCACACTAAAGGTCTCATTTAAATTAATCATCTGATGAAAGGACCTGTCTCCAGGCTGGGTGCAGAGATTCATGCCTGTAATCCCAGTACTTTGGGAGTCTGAGGCGGGTCCATCACCTAGGTCAGGGGTTTGAGATCAGCCTGGCCGACATGGCGAAACCCTGTCTCTACCAAAAATAGAAAAATTAGCCAGGCGGGGGGTGCATGTTTATAATCCTGGCTACCCTAACCTGGGAGGCAGAGGTTGTGGTGAGGCCAGACTGTGGCACCGCACTCCAGCCTGAGTGAAAGATGGAAACTTCTCAAACAAACAAACAAAAAAGGATCTGTTTCCAAATACAGCCACACCTTGAGGCAGTGGGGGTTGGGGCTTCAATATGTGAATTTTGGGGTGAAACAGTGCAGCCCACAGCAACAAGCACAGTCATCGTGGGCGGGCCTGGGGGGCGGGGGCGGGGTTCCTGTCCTCTGTGTGTGTGTCTCCCAGGGGGTCCTGACCCGACTCTCACAGCCCCTCCACCCAGACCTTCCTGCATGCTCCACCCATCCCATTCCTCCTGCACCCCACACTCCTGAGCCGCTCCTTAGCCGCCAACAGGTTCCCCGCCCCGGGCTGCTCCCCTTCTCACTCTCTCTGGGTCTCTTTAGGGGTCCCCACGTGACCCCTCAGCTGATGCCCCTGGCTTCCCCAGTTCCAGGCTCTGCAGCGTCCCATCAGAGCTCACATCCTCCCCTCTGTCCAGTCCAGGGAGAAGACCTGGCATTTCTGTTTTGGAAATGCCTCTGCACTGGGCGCTAAGAGTTCACTTTTATTTTCATAATTTGTGGTCTTGTGAGGATAGGTGTTTTTTGGGCAACAGAAGAAAATCCTGTGAATTATTAAAAAAAAAAAAAAAAGTCCCTAGCAGGCTCTTCTCCTGCTGGTCCTGCTCAGGATCATCTCTGCCCAGATGCTGGGTGTGGTAGTATTAACCCCGCTTGCAGGAGGGAAGCCCCAGCGGGTTCATCTCCGGCAGGGACTGAGGGTGAGCAGAGCCAGGACAGGGTTGCATGGTGAGGCCAGGGAAGGAGACCCAGCTGTAGCTCAGGGAGAGGGGCAGGGGCCTCCCCAGAGGGCCTGAGCACAGGGAGCTGACCCTGGGAGACCCTGACAAGGCCCCAGCAGGCCCCAGGGCTGCAGGGATCTCCCAGCCAGCCCCAGAAGGGGTCAGAGGAGGAGGTTTGGAGATTCCAGCAAGTGAGCAGGAGCCCCTCTGACAGGTACCAAGGGATGTGGGGAGTAGGAAGAAGCGAGTTGGGGTGCCTGGGGGAAAGGGTGGGGAGGGAGGGGGAGGCAAGGCAGTCTAGGAGGGCTCTTACTTTTCTGAGCTTTTCTCCACAGACACCTGATGGATCCAGGCACATTCTCTTACAACTTTACCAATGACCCTTCGGTCCTTGGACGGCACCAGACCTACCTGTGTTACGAGGTGGAGCACGTGCACAATGGCACCTGGGTCCCGATGCACCAGCACAGGGGCTTCATACTCAACGAGGTGATCACCAGACACCCGCAAGCACACAGGGCCCTCCCCATCCAGGGACACGCATGGCTGGAAGGTTCTGGGTAGGACCGGTGGGGTCCCCAGACTGTCTTTCACCTGTGCTTCCTGCACTGCTGCTGCTTGGCCCTGGGGTTCGGGGAGACCTCGGCTTCAGTGACTCTAGGATCAGCAGCTTCCAGCCCCACATGCGTAACTGGCCACGTGTCTCAGGTGCACCACTAGTCCAGAGTCACCCCCAGGTACAGGGCTCAGCCATCCCCTCTCCTGCTGTGCTCTGAGAGGGTCGGGGCAGAGGAAAAGGGTCTGCACCAGGGCCAGGTGGGATCAAAGGCAAAGTGCTTCCTGAGACCCTCCCAGGATCCCCCCACAGAAGCAGCTCTCACCAGGAATCATTAGAACGGTGGGATTTGAGGACTCAGGGCCTACCTGACCTCTCACAAGGCCAGGATTCCCCAGTGCCTGCTCCTGGGCTACATCATGCGGGGAGAGAGACTGAGGCAGGAGAGGCTGATCAGGGATTCCATCCTGACCAGGGTAGAGCCCACAGCAAGGCCAGAACAGGCCCACATCAGGATGCAGGGATGGCCAGCATTTGGGGAGGAGCTGGGACAGGCCAAGCCAAGGGGCCCTGAGCCAGAGGGATGATCTTCCCTGGCCCCTGCCCAGCACAGCCTCTGGTTAGAGAGGTCCAATTCTGTTTGGCTCTGGTGCTAGACTTGGGGGCTCCTCTGGGCTTTATGAGCTCAATGTAGACCTTGCTGGGCCCACACACACTGCTTGGAAGCTATTTTTTAGGGCGCGGATCTCCATCACTGCCTATCCCGTGGGACAGGACTCTCCCGCAGAATGACCCACAGCCCCTTCTCGGCACAGACCGTGTCCTCTCTTCTGCCCTGAGTCCTCTCCACACTGGCGTCCTGGGCTTCACTAGTTCCTCATTGAGATGGAAAATCCTTCACTTGTTTTTGGACAAAATGCCATAATTCCTTGGGCTCAAAAAGGACAACTGCCCCATTATTTGGGCCCTTCCCCATTTGGGGTTAGTCCTACTGGGAGCTCCTCATCCCCACTTCTCCCTGCAAAGGGAGCCCTCTGGCTTCAGTCTATGTCACCCTTGGACTCAGTACAGAATAAAGTGCAATGTGGAAGCTTCTAGAATTATGGGTCACAGAAGGGGTGGGCTGAGGAGGAATGATGGGTAGAGAGGTCAGTCTTTCCACAAGGGATTCAGACACGACTCAGTGGCATCTGTCCTCCCTCCCCTAGCTCTGCAGCCCCTCCCTGCAGGCCTGGGCCCAGATTGAGGGTCCTGAAGTCACTGACCTCAGGTCCAAAATAAGACCATGCTCCAAACACTCAGTAACAGAGAAATCCCTTCGCAACGTCAAATAAAATTAATACATTATTTTCAAAATCAGGCCGGGTGTGGTGGCTCACACCTGTAATCCCAGCACTTTGGGAAGCCAAGGCAAGAGCATCACTTGAGGTCAGGAGTTCAAGACCAGCCTGGCCACCGTGGTGAAACCCCGTCTCTACTAAAGATACAAAAGTTAGCCTGGTGTAGTGGGGAGGCCCTCTAATCCCAGCTACTGAGGAGGCTGAGGCACAAGAATCACTTGAACCTGGGAGGTGAAGGTTGCAGTGAGCTGAGATGGAGCCACTGCACGCCAGCTTGAGTGACAGAACCAGACTGTGTCTCAAGAAAAGAAAAATAAGAAAAGAAAATCATCTTGATAACTGGGGTTTGGTGCCCCTTCTAATCTTGTGTGGGAGGCTGCCCCGCACCCAGCCTCACCTGATCCAGGCTGTCCCTCCCTGCTCACAAAAGATGGCCTCACACCTTGCTTTCATTTCTAGGCTTCAAATAATCCCGGTTTCCCTGAAGGCCGCCATGCAGAGCTGTGCCTCCTGGACCTGATTTCCTTTTGGAAGCTGGACCTGGCCCAGCGCTACAGGGTCACCTGCTTCATCTCCTGGAGTCCCTGCTTCAGCTGTGCTGAGAAGGTGGCTGAATTCCTTCAAGAGAACCCACACGTGAACCTGCACATCTTTGCTGCCCGCATCTATGATTGTCAACGAGGATATAAAAAGGGCCTGCGCAGGCTGGACAGAGCTAGGGCCCCAATTTCCATGATGAAATACAGTGGTGAGAATGAAAGCCTGGAGTGGGGTGGGGTCAGCTGGGGCAGGAGAGGGCCCTGGGGAGTTACTAGATAGTGGGGAAGGCGGGCATCCCCGGGGGAGAGGCCAGGCCAGGAGATTGGGTCCCAGGGATGGCAGGGAGGGGAGGGTGGCTGCAAGTAGAAGACAGACTTGGGGCTTCCAGAAAGAATGAGAACTGGGGTGTCCCAGATTCCAATGGGAAGGAAGTGCCTGATGAAGGAGGGAAGTCCCTAGGGGAGGCAGAGGGAAAGGAGGGACCGAAACCAGCATGTGGAAGTCTGTCCTGAGAGTCAGGGCCCTCAGTGCCTCCCCCTCCCCACAGGGAACGTGACTTATCTCCTCTGTCCCTTTTCAGAGTTTAGGCACTGCTGGGACACCTTTGTGGATCGCCAGGGACACCCCTTCCAGCCCTGGGAGGGACTAGATGAGCACAGCCAAGCCCTGAGTGGGAGGCTGCAGGCCATTCTCCAGGTGAGGGCTTCCTCCCTCTGCCCAGAGCCCAATCGGCCTCTCCTCCTCCCCTCTCCCTCTGGGCCTTGCCTTCCCCTCTGCTCAGAACCTCCTCTGGGTTCTCTGCTCCCCGCAGGGCACCCAGCTCTGTCTCTCCCTTTCCTTCTCACAGCCTCCCTCTCTCTCCCACCTCCCGTGTCCCCCCACCTCTCCTGTCATTGTCCCTGTCCCCAGGCCTCCTCCCTGTGCCCTCTTTCTACTCTCTCAGTCCCTGCTCCATTCAACTCCCTGCTCTTCCTGAATCAGGGAAACTGATGGATGATGCTCAGTCTTTAAGGAAAGCAGAGACCTGGGCTGAGCAGCAGAATAAAAGATCTTCCAAGAAATGCAAGCAGGCTGTTCACCACCATCTCCAGCTGATCACAGACGCCAGCAAAGTAATGCGCTCCTGACCAAGTAGATTATTTTAAAAATTAGAGTGAATTACCTTTAATCAAAAATTTATGTGCTATAGTAGTAAGATTGTGCTCAATACAGTCAGAAACGTTTCAAACCTACTAATCCAGTGACAATTTGAATTGGTTTTATATGTAGAGGAATACAATGAAATACTAAATATTTTCATATTTTTCCCTCTGTGATTGTATCATGACTTGCAAGTGTTTACATAAATATTAGCAAATGTGTAGCTGTCTTTCCTTTTGTAGTGGACCTGCAGTGGGAAAAAGGTCACACTGCATTCCTCTGGAGCCAGAAAACTCAGCTAAACCCCACAGGAGAGTGATAAAAAATGTGCAGTCATTCTGGGCAAAGGGGCCAGTGTAGGGGAAGCCAGAGGGCCTGACCCTGGTGAAAGAACCCCACAGTTAGTCATGTCACAGTGTTGTAACCGAACGAGTTATAGAGAAAGTGCCATACTCTGAGATTGAATCAGGAGTCCTTTTATTGCTGGTGACCGAGAGACAGCTAATGTTCAAAATTCTCTCGACCTGAAGAAGGGGCTTGATTCCTTTTTATACCTTGCGTATGACATGGGAGGGGGAGTCTAGCTGAAGCAAAATTTCACAGAAGCAGAACAAGCAGGTTAGAGAGGAAAGCTGGTAACCAGGAGGCAGGAGCATTCCCATAATTGTTGGTTACCAAAGCGGGTATTCAGATCCTTTTCATACAATCACCAAGGGGGTGTTATTCACAATAGCGGGTGGACTTGCCAAGCCTGGATGCAGTTACAGTGGTTACAGGTACTGAGAACAGCATGAGCCAAACCTGGACCCAAACCTGAACGGTTCAAAGCTCTGAGCACAGTGTGACCTGAGGGGCTGTGGCAGGGAGGGAGAGCTAGAGAAAGCTTGTCAGGCTTGCAGCTAAGATGCAGTCAGTTAGGCTCACACAACAGGGCAGGTCCCAGGGAGACCTGCCCCGGCCCCCAGAACCCCACCTCTCCGGGGTCCAGGCCCCCTGTCCCCTGGCCTCCACTCACAGCTTTGCCCTGTGGGTCCTGGAGGGGGGGTCCTGTGGGTCCTGGGGAGGGGACTGGACACAGCCTCATGACACTGCTGAGAGCTGGGCTGGGAACTGGCAGCCTGTGGTCCTCTGGGCTGTAGGGTGTCAGGGCCCCACAGCAGTGGCAGAGCAGGGACCTCAGTACAGAGCAGCACGGACTCCAGACCCCAGTGGGGCCTCCATTCTAGTCCCAGGGTGACCCGGGCTGTGCATCCCAGCACCTGCCCAGTGTGTCTCTGTTCTGGTCTGTCCCTCAATAGTCTGAACCCTGCTGGGCACCTGCCTCATCCCCCCTTACGGGGGACCAGGGTGAATCTCAGGCAACAGCTGCACCTGTGAAGGAGGCCATTCTCCCTGCACCCATCCCTGCCGCCCACATGGGGAACCAGCTCCTTCCTGTCCCTGGGGACATTTCCTAGGCTCCAACGGAAACTCCAGCAGGATGTGGGGTCTTTCATTTTCACTCAGTGTTGCAGGGGCCAAAATAGGGGTGGGGCTGTCACTCCGCAGGAGATAACACTTGTAGATGATGCTGATAAAACACTGGGCATCCCAGAGATGCTTTTAAGTACACCTGTCACCTGTACCTAAAAGCATCTCCGGGATGCACAGTGTTTTATCAACATTATCTACAAGCATTTTACAGTGAAGTATTTTTCTTTTCTTTTCTTTTTTTTAAGATGGAGTCTTGCTCTGTCACTTAGGCTAAAGAGTAATGGTGTGATAGTGGCTCACTGCAACCTCTGCCTTCCAGGTTTAAGGGATTCTCTTGCCTCAGCCTCCCGAGTAGCTAGGATTGTAGGTGTGCGCCACCATGCCCGGCTAATTTTTGTAGTTTTAGTAAAGATGGGGTTTCACCACTTTTGTCCAGGCTGATCTCAAACTCCTGACCTCAAGCGATCCGCCTGCCTGGCCTCCCAAAGTGCTTGGATTACAGGCACGAGCCTCCATGGCCCGGCCATGAATGCTAGTTTTAGATCTGATCCTAGACCTCAGGCTCTGTCTGTCATGAGCAATCATGATGAACATTTTGTTTTGTTTTTGAGACGGAATCTGGCTCTGTCGCCAGGCTGGAGTTGCAGAGTTGCAATCTCAGCTCACTGCAATCTCAGCCTCCCGGGTTCAAGCGATTCTCTTGCCTCAGCCTCCCGAGGTGCTGGGACTACCGGCGGGCACCACCAGGCCCAGCTAATTTTTGTATTTTTAGTAGAGACACGGTTTCACCATGTTGGCCAGGATGGTCTCAATCTCTTGACCGAGTGATCCACCTGTCTTGGCTGCCCAAAGTGCTGGGATTACAGGTGTGAGCCACTGTTCCCAGCCTAATCATGATGAAATTTTGCTGCATTGTGTTCAGGGAAAAGGGAGAATTTTTTGCCGGACATTTTGCCACCCACCTCACCCCACTTAGCAAACAAAACAAACCCCTCAGGATCCCAGCATGGAGGGCACGGCAGTATAACAGTTAGACAGACTGGCAGAGGCAGCACCGAGCTGTTCCTGGGAAAGTCCAAAGGAATGAGATCAGGATTCTGGTCAGTTCCTGGTGACTATCATCCCCCTACCCTACCCTCCCTCAGAACAAACATAGATTTTCCAAATCTACCACTTTTGTCTTTCAAATTTTCTTTTTCTTTTTCTTTTTTTTGGGGGACAGACAGATTCTTGCTCTGCTGCCCAGTGGCACGATCTTGACTCACTGCAACCTCCACCTCCCAGGTTCAAGCAATTCTTTACCTCAGCCTCCCGAGTAGCTCGGATTACAGGTGTGTGCCACCACAACCGGCTAATTTTTTTTTTTTTTTTGTAGTAGAGATGGGGTTTCACCATATTGGTCAGGCTGGTCTTAAACCCCTGACCTTGTGATCCACACACCTCAGCCTCCCAAAGTGCTGGGATTACAGGCGTGAGCCACTGCACCTGGCTGTCTTTCAAATTTTCTACCCATGGGAGAGTGAATGATCATCCAGAGGTAGCAGGGAAAGTTGTTACTTCATCAAGACGATGGCGTGTTCCAGGGAGCTGGCCAGGGTGCAGTGAGCATGTGGCCCAGTTCCCTGGGTGGGAAGACTGAGATGGAGTTGGGGATGGTCCAGGGCCTGCCAGGAGCAGGGCTGGGGGAGATGGCCTGGCATAGGCCCATGCCCACACACGGAGCAAAAATGTCCACCATCAGGTCTGCCCTGTGCCAATCAGAAAACTCTGGGCAGAGACTGTGACGCTCTGTGTCACTTTGGGGTGGGCAGTGATGACTCCACACACTTCTATGGGGACCTGGAGAGTAGGGACCAGAGGACTGGTACATGGGCAGGCGAGCCTGGGTCTAAGAGCCCACTGTGCCTGCCACCGTCGGGTCCCCGGGCACATTGCCTCCCCTGAAACCTCTCTTTACTCATCTGTAAAGTGGGGGCAATGATACCTCCCTCTCAACTCTGCACTTGGAGGGCAGTGGGGGCTGGATTTGGAAAAGGCCTGGCCGCATCAGGCATTGGGCCAATCCGAGTCTCCTCCTCCCCCTGGGTCAAGCTTCCTGATGTCACAGCAGTCTCCCTGCACCCAAGGTTGGCTCCAGCCCCTCCACCCAGGAAGCCCTCGGGGAGCTGATGTCACCAGCAGCTCTGTGGTTTTGGCACCCACAGGCTCAGGGTGGGTGGCCATGGAAGGCTCTTGCTGCCCCTCAGGGTCTGTACCTCTGCCTCCCTCCAGTGTGGGGCCCTGTCCTCTTCCCACTCCGTTCTCCAGCCCTCACCACCCCGGGCAGGCACTGCTTCCCAGAGAGCCATCTGGGCCAGGTGTAAAATGGCCTCTGTGGTCAAAGCCTGAAAGCGTTGTCCCCGCACCTTCCTAACGGTACACAGCGTTTTCTGGGGGAACAAGGGGGAGGTGGGCAAGAGTCTGGCACCTTTTCTGAGTCACATCCCTTCTAATAGGGCCCTGAGTCTGCAGGACGGAAGGATGTGGCCTTGCCTGTCAGAGGTGCCTGAGTCCTCCAGGGCATCCTGAGTGGGAGGGTGGCCCTGAGCAGAGAGGAACATAAGGGCCATGGCACAACCCTTGAGAGGTCTATGTCAGCAGCGAGCCTGTTTGCCTGTAGACATCCGTCTCCCCTCCTATTGATTTATGTATTTTTTTGAGATAGGGTCTTGCTCTGTCACCCAGGCTGGAGTGCAGTGGCAAGATCACAGCTTGCAGTAGCGTTTACCTCCCAGGCTTAATCGATCCTCCCACCTCAGTCTCCCAAGTAGCTGGGACTACAGGCATGCTACACCCAGCTAATTTCTGTGTATGTGTGTGTGTGTGTGTGGTGTGTGTGTGTGTGTGTGTTTTAGTAGGGATGGGGTTTTTCTATGTTGTTCAGGTTGGTCTTAAATTTCTAGACTCAGGCAATCCTCCTGCCTCAGCCTCCCAACGTACCGGGATCACAGGTGTGTTAGCCACTGCCACAGGCACCGTCTCTCCTTGACACTGCAGTGAGAAATGGCAAAAGTAGCCAGTCTCACGGAGCAGAAATGTGCTTCCTGTCCTGATCTGCAATGCACTGCCTCCTGACAAGTGCTACCAAATCGCCTGGTTCATATCCTGGAGCCCCACCTGGACTGTGCATTGAGAGTGGCCGAGTTACTGGCCAAGCAAAACCAAGTGAGGCTGAGCATCTTTGCTGCCCACCTCCACCACGACTGTGACCCACCATGATTCCAACATGGGCTTCTCAGACTGCATGACAAAGGGGCATGTGTGCAGATCACATCTTCTAAGGGTGAGAGGGCCAGGCAAGGTGGCTCATGCCTATAATCTCAGCACTACGGGAGGCTGAGACTGGCAGATCACCTGAGGTTGGGAGTTCAAGACCAGCCTGACCAACATGGAGAAACCCCTGTCTCTACTAAAAATACAAAATTAGCCAAGCATGATGGCACATACCTGTAATCCCAGCTACTGGGGAAGCTAAGGATGCCGAGGCAGGAAAATCACTTGAACCTGGGAGATGGTTTCAGTGAACTGAGATCATGCCATTGCACTCCAGCCTAGGCAAAAAGAGCAAAACTTCATCTGAAAAAAAAAAAAAAAAAAAAGGGGGCCGGGCGCGGTGGCTCAAGCCTGTAATCCCAGCACTTTGGGAGGCCGAGGCGGGTGGATCACGAGGTCGAGAGATCGAGACCATCCTGGTCAACATGGTGAAACCCCGTCTCTACTAAAAAACTACAAAAAATTAGCTGGGCATGGTGGCGCGTGCCTGTAATCCCAGCTACTCAGGAGGCTGAGGCAGGAGAATTGCTTGAACCCAGGAGGCGGAGGTTGCGGTGAGCCGAGATCGCGCCATTGCACTCCAGCCTGGGTAACAAGAGCTAAACTCCGTCTCAAAAAAAAAAAAAAAAAAAAAAAAAAGGGTGAGAGGTTGGGGCCTGAGGGGTGTGTTGGAGGGAGGGACAGCATGAGGGGCAGGGGAGTCTGGGATGCCATTGGGGCAATATCTCAGGGGAGCCTGCAGGGACTGAACCAGCACTGACAGCCATGAGTTCACTCCTGGGAGGGGCGGGCCCAGGGTCAGGGGAGAGAGGCCTGCTGGTCCTGACTGCCTTCTTCCCTCTTTTATCTCAGAATTTGAACACTGTTGGGAAGACCGTGTACAAGGGAGATGAGCCACGTCAACCTTGCATGACACTGCATGAAAGCTACCCATCTCTGGTCCCCAAGCTGAAGGGTAGCCTCACAGCTGATCCCCTTGCTCCTCCTGGCTCCTGCTCAGCCTCCTCATGTCTTCCCTCTGTCTTGTACCAGATTCACCCCTGCCTGGGCCTTCTGAGCTCCACCTGCCCTGAATACCGCCCCTCAGTGCCCAACACCTTGCTGCCTCCTCCACACTTTCCCAACCTGCCAGTGAGAGGCTGCCTTCTGCCTCCAGAGCAACCTCCATCCACCACCCCCAGACTCCTTCCTCCCATCCTGGGACCCGCTAGCCTGGCTCCTTCCATCTCCCCAGCATACCTGAATCTTGTCATTGAACTGAATATAAATGGGTAGTAGAAATATACCTAAGTGTGAAAGCTACGTTTTGAGAAACATCTTTTGTAAGAACTGATGCTAAGCATTAGGTCACTCTTGTCATGCCCAACTAAAACAGAGGCCAGGAGCCAAGAGGGGAAAGTGCTCCCGCTACAGAACATTGCTTCCACGAGCCTGATGGCTGAAGCTGCTCATCCTGTACCCTGAAACCAGCTTCACCTACAACTTCTGAGATGAATTGCTGCAACTCTTGAACTCACGATGCCTACTACAGTGGCTCATCAATGGAACCTGCCAGCTCCCAACCCTTCCTGGGGCCCAGGAACTTTCTGAAACAGGAACAGAAATATTTCTCCTTGTTATAAAATCTTTAACCTTCCCTTTGTTCGTCATGTACATGCTGAATTGCAATTCTTCTTCCCAAATTGTTGGAAATAGATGATTGGTGCTGCAAAGAGAAACGAGTACTGAGACAAAGAAATTTTTAGCAACCCAATTTTACTTCCTGGACTGCAGAAAGGGTACTCTCACTAGCCATCTTGCCACGAAAGTACAATGAACAAAGGAAAACATACAATTTCTTTTAAGCATTTGGGGTCATTCTTACTGCTGTGTCTGTCTCCATTGGTTGGAGCCAGACCTCACAATCTAAACTAAAACCCAGTTGGCTAATAACTTAAAACTTTTCCAAACAGGTAAAAGCAATGGAGAGCTGGGACATGCCTGTGAACAAGCACATCCAGTACAGATATCTTGGTTAAAGTACAAGGACGTAGAATGTACCATGTGCCTGTAAGCATGGCATGTCTAACAGCTACATAGGATAGGGCTTAACAAAAAGTGATTAGCACACTTATTTTTTAACAAGAAAGGAAAATTTAAAAATGAACTTTTCTACTTCCCACAGAAATAAAACATTAAATTTAGAGATTCCTCTCCACAGTTTTGACTTTGACATACATGGTGTCCGAAGTGGGATCCTCCAGAGGAATCACCAGCCCACCGAACTATGGTGGGAGGTAACCACACTGGTAACCCCTTCAGCCCCCTGGTAGATCTTTCTTGGACAAAATTCCAGAATTGGGTTTGCATTCTGTTTTATTTGGGATAAGGTTGGGGAGGGGTCTTTCCCCCTTCTGTTTGGGAGATTTCCTGTTAGGAAGGTTTTAAAATTTTGTTTTGTTTTTGTTTTTGAGAGTCTCACCTTGTCACCAAGGCTGGAGTACAGTGGTGTGATCTCCGCTCACTGTAACCTCTGCCTCCTGGGTTCAGGTAATTCTCCTGACTCAGCCTCCCGAGTAGCTGGGATTACAGGCACCCACCACCATGCCTGGCTAATTTTTCTATTTTTAGTAGAGACAGGGTTTCACCATATTGGCCAGGCTGGTCTTGAACTCCTGACCTTGTGATCCACCGCCCTCAGCCTCCCAAAGTGCAGAGCCACCACACCCGGCCTAGGAGGGCTATTTTCCTCCTGTTGACCTGGGCTGTGAGGTTTGCACCTTGACAAGTTTAAAAGTGAGTTCACCCTCATTTGGAGAAAGCAATCATCCTCCTTGGTAAGCACCTACTTTACTTCCCATCAGTGCTTGCATTTATTGTGCTTTTGTGCATTTGATGTCAAACTAAATTACCTAGATCAGGCTGAAGAGCAGTGGCTCAATCTTGGCTCACTACAACCTCTGCGTCCCAGGTTCAAGCAATTCTCCTGCCTCAGCCTCTCGAGTACTTGGGATTACAGGCACCTGCCACCATTCCCAGCTAATGTTTGTATTAGATATAGGGTTTCACCATGTTGGCCAGGCTGGTCTCAAACTCCTGACCTCAGGTGATCCACCCACCTCGGCCTCCCACAGTGCTGGGATTACAGGTGTGAGTCACCATGCCTGGCCCTGGATAACTTTCTTTATATCAAGAAAGTAATAAATCTTGTCACACTGTCAGTTCGCCCTCATGTACACATAGCTTAGCTTTTACATAGGTAAGTCTCCAATATAAGAAAGGCCAGGCATGGTGGATGAAGTCATCAGGGTAATCCAATATGTCTGATGTCCTTATAAAGGGTAGATTTAGGCTGGGTGTGGTGGCTCACACCTGTAGTCCTAGCACTTTGGGAGGCCGAGGCAGGCAGATCACAAGGTCAATAGATCGAGACCATCATGGCCAACAAGGTGAAACGCCGTCTCTACTAAAAATGCAAAAATTAGCCAGGCGTGGTGGCGTGTGCCTGTAGTCCTAGCTACTTGGGAGGCTGAGGCAGGAGAATTGCTTGAAACTGGGAGGCAGAGGTTGTAGTGAGCCGAGATCATGCCATTGCATTCTAGCCTGGGTGATAAAGTGAGACACTGTCTAAAAAAAAAAAAAAAAAAAAAAAAGTATTTCATTTTATTCCTCTACATATAAAGCCAATTCAAATTGTCACTGGATGAGTAGGTTTGAAACCTTTCTGAGAATACTGAGCACAATCTCACTACTGTATTCTTGAAACATCACATAAATTTTTTATTAAAAGTAATTCGCTTTAATTTTTAAAATAATCTACTTGTCAGGAGTGCACTGCTTTGCTGGCTTCTGTGATCAGCTGGAGATGGTGGTAAACGGCCTGGTTACATTTCTTGGAAGAAGATCTTTTATTCTGCTGTTCAGCCCAGGTCTCTTCCTTAGAGACTGAGGCTCATCCATCAGTTTCCCTGATTCAGGAAGAGCAGGGAGTTGAGTGGAGCAGGGACTGAGAGAGTAGAAAGAGGGCACAGGGAGGAGGCCTGGGGACAGGGACAATGACAGGAGAGGAGGGGGGACCTGGGAGGTGGGAGAGAGAGGGAGGCTGTGAGAAGGAAAGGGAGAGACAGAGCTGGGTGCCCTGGGGAGAGCAGGGAACCCAGGGGAGGCTCTGAGCAGAGGGGAAGGCAAGGCCCAGAGGGAGAGGGGAGGAGGAGAGGCCGATTGGGCTCTGGGCAGAGGGAGGAAGCCCTCACCTGGAGAATGGCCTGCAGCCTCCCACTCAGGGCTTGGCTGTGCTCATCTAGTCCCTCCCAGGGCTTGAAGCGGCGTCCCTGGTGATCCACAAAGGTGTCCCAGCAGTGCCCAAACTCTGAAACAGGACAGGGGAGGTAAGTCATGTTCCCCTGTGGGAAGGAGGCACCGAGGGCCCTGACTCTCAGGACAGACTTCCACATGCTGGTTTCGGTCCCTCCTTTCCCTCTGCCTCCCCTAGGGACTTCCCTCCTTCATCAGGCACTTCCTTCCCATTGGAATCTGAGCCAGCCCAGGTCTCATTCTTTCTGGAAGCCCCAAGTCTGTCTTCTACTTGCAGCCACCCTCCCCGCCCTTCCCAGGCCCCCATCTCCTGGCCTGGCCTCTCTCTTCCCATAGACCCCAAAGTCAGGCAGAGTGCAGCCCTCGCCTCTGCAGGCAGCAGACCAAGGCCTTTCTCCTATTCTTCTCATGGACCTCTCCTACCCCCACCCACCCCACCCACCCCACTGGAACCTTCCCTTCTCACCCTCAGAGGTCATGATGGAGACTTGGGCCCCAGCATTCTGCAGCATTTGCAGCCCCTCCTCATATCCTGGAAGATAATCATAGATGCGGGCAGCGAAGATGCGCAGGTTCACGTGTGGGTTCTCTTGAAGGAATTCAGCCACCTTCTCAGCACAGCTGAAGCAGGGGCTCCAGGAGATGAAGCAGGTGACCCTGTAGCACTGGGCCTGTTTCCGCTTCCAAAAGGAAATCAGGTCCAGGAGGCACAGCTCTGCATGGCGGCCTTCAGGGACACTGAGACTGTTTGAAGCCTAGAAAAGAAAGCAAGTTGTGAGGCCATCTTTTGTGAGCAGGGAGGGACAGCCTGGATCAGGTGAGGCTGGGTGCGGGGCAGCCTCCCACACAAGATTAGAAGGGGCACCAAACCCCAGTTATCAAGATGATTTTGTTTTCTTTTCTTCTTCTTATTTTTTTAGACAAAAAGTCTGGTTCTGTCTCCGAGGCTGGAGTGCAATGGTGCCATCTCAGCTCACTGCAACCTCCACCTCCTGGGTTGAAGCGATTCTTGTGCCTCAGCCTCTCCAATAGCTGGGACTACAGGCACATGCCCCCACACCTGGCTAATTTTTATATTTTTAAAGACATGGGGTTTCACCACGGTGACCAGGCTGGTCTTAAACTCCTGACCTCAAGTGATGCTCTTGCCTTGGCTTCCCAAAGTGCTGGGATTACAGATGTGAGCCACCACACCCGACCTGATTTTGAAAATAATGTATTAATTTTATTTGATGTTGCGAAGGGATTTCTCTGATACTGAGTGTTTGGAGTATGGTCTTATTTTGGACCTGAGGTCAGTGCCTTCAGGACCCTCAATCTGGGCCCAGGCCTGCAGGGAGGGGCTGCAGAGCTAGGGGAGGGAGGACAGATGCCACTGAGTTGCATCTGAATCCCTTGTGGGGAGACTGACCTCTCTACCCATCATTCCCCCTCAGCCCACCCCTTCAGTGACCTATAATTATAGAAGCTTCCACATTGAGTCGGAGTATTGAGTTAGAGTGACATACATAGACTGAGGCCAGAGGGCTCCCTTTGCAGGGAGAAGTGGGGACAGGGGCCCCTAGTAGGACTAACCCCAAATGGGGAAGGGCCCTGGTCATGGGGTGATTGTCCTTGTTGAGCCCAAGGAATTAAGGCATTTTGTCCAAACACAAGTGAAGGATTTTCCATTTCAATGAGGAACTAGTGAAGCCCAGGACGCCAGTATGGAGAGGACTCAGGGCAGAAGAGAGGACACGGTCTGTGCCGAGAAGGGGCTGTGGGTCATTCTGCGGGGGAGTCCTGTCCCACGGGATAGGCGGTGATGGAGACTGGTGCCCTAAAAAGTAGCTTCCAAGCAGTGTGTGTGGGCCCAGCAGGGTCTACATTGAGCTCATAAAGCTCAGAGGAGACCCCATGTCTAGCACCAGAGCAAAGCAGAACTTGTCCTCTCTAACCAGGGGCTGTGCTGGGCAGGGGCCAGGGAAGATCGTCCCTCTGGCTCAGGGCCCCTTGGCCCATCCTGTCCCGGCTCCTCCCCAAATGCTGGCCATCCCTGCATCCTGATGTGGGCCTGTTCTGGCCTTGCTGTGGGCTCTACCCTGGTCAGGACGGAATCCCTGATCAGCCTCTCCTGCCTCAGTCTCTCTCCCCGCAGGATGTAGCCCAGGAGCAGACACTGAGGAATCCTGGCCTTGTGAGGTCGGGTGGGCCCTGAGTCCTCAAATCCCACCGTTCTAATGATTCCTGGTGAGAGCTTCGTCTGTGAGGGGATCCTGGGAGGGTCTCAGGAAGCACTTTGCCTTTGATTCCACCTGGCCCTGGTGCAGACCCTTTTCCTCTGCCCCGACCCTCTCAGAGAACAGCAGGAGAGGGGATGGCTGAGCCCTGGACTTGGGGGTGACTCTGGACTAGTGGTGCACCTGAGACATGTGGCCGGTTACGCATGTGGGGCTGGAAGCTGCTGATCCTAAGTCACTGAAGCTGAGGTCTCCCCGAACCCCAGGGCCAAGCGGCAGCAGTGCAGGAAGCACAGGTGACAGACAGTGTGTAGGGCTCCACCGGTCCCACCCAGAACCTTCCAGCCATGCGTGTCCCTGGATGGGGAGGGCCCTGCGTGGATGCGGGTGTCTGGTGATCACCTCGTTGAGTATGAAGCCCCTGTGCTGGTGCAGCGGGACCCAGGTGCCATTGTGCAGGTGCTCCACCTTGTAACACAGGTAGGTCTGGTGCTGTCCATGGACCGAAGGGTTGTTGGTAAAGTTGTAAGTGAATGTGCCTGGATCCATCCGGTATCTGTGGACAGCGGAGGGGTGAGGGATGCTGGATGCCCAGAGGAGTAAGAACCTTTTTGGACTGCCTTGCCTTCCCTCCCTCCCACCTCCCGCTCCTTAATCCTTGCTCCCCAAATCCCTTCGTACCTGTCAGAGGGGCTCCTGGTCACTTGCTGGAATCTCCAAACCTCCCCCTCTGAGCCCTTCTGGGGCTCAGTGGGAGATCCCTGCAGCCCTGGGGCCTGTCGGGGCCTTGTCAGGGTATCCCAGGGTCAGCTCCGTGTGCTCAGGCCCTCCGGGGAGGCCCCTGCCACTCTCCCTGAGCTAGAGCTGGGTCTCCTTCCCTGGCCTCACCATGCAACCCAGTCCTCGCTCTGCTCACCCTCAGTCCCTGCCGGAGATGAACCCGCTGGGGCTTCCCTCCTGCAAGCGGGGTTAATACTACCACACCCAGCATGGGGCAGAGACACTCCTGAGCGGGACCAGCAGGAGAAAAGCCTGCTAGGGACTTTTTTTTTTTTTTTTGATAATTCACAGGATTTTCTTCCATTGCCAAAAAATGCCTGTCCACACAATACCACAAATTATAAAAATAAAAGTGAACTCTTAGCACCCAGTGCAGAGGCATTTCCAAAACAGAAATGCCAGGTCTTCTCCCTGGACTGGACAGAGGGGAGGATGTGAGCTCTGATGGGACGCTGCAGAGCCTGGAACTGGGAGGAGTCTGGCTGGGGAAGCCAGGGGCATCAGCTGAGGGGTCATGTGGGGACCCCAAAGAGAGAGTGAGAAGAGGAGCAGCCTTGGAGAGGGAGCCTGTTGGGGGCTAACGACAGGCTCAGGAGTGTGGCATGTCCTCTGGCATGCAGGAGGAATGGGGTGGATGGAGCATGCAGGAAGGTCTGGGTGGAGGGGCTGTGAGGGTCGGGTCAGGACCCCCTGGGAGGCACACACACAGAGGACAGGAACCCCTCCCCCGCCCCCTAGGCCCGCCCACGATGACTGTGCTTGTTGCACTGTTTCTCCCCCAAATCCACATATTGAAGCCCCAACCCCCAATGCCTCAAAGGGTGACTGTATTTGAAAACAGGTCCTTTCTTTTTTGTTTGGAAAGTTTCGATCTTTCCCCAGGCTGGAGTGCAGTGCCACAGTCTGGACTCACCGCAACTTCTGCCTCCCGTGTTCAAGCCATTCTCCTGCCTGAGCTGCTGGTGTAGCTGGGATTACAGGCTTACACCACCCGCCTGGCTAGTTGTTTATTTTTGGTAGAGGCGGGGCTTTGACATGTTGGCCAGGCTGGTCTTCAACTCCTGACCTCAGGTGATCACCCGCCTCACACTCCCAAAGTGCTGCAATTACAGGCATGAACCTCTGCACCCAGCCTGGAGACAGGTCCTTTCATCAGATGATTAATTTAAATGAGAACTCTAGGGTGGGCCTAAATTCACTTGGCTGGGGTCCATAAACCAGGAGGACATTTGGAGGCAGAGAGATGCCAGGGGTGCAGGTGAACAGAGGACATGGCCAAGAGGGACCCCTGCCAACCAGGAGGAGCGGCTTTAGGCCTTAGAGGAAACAACCCAGCCGATGGCTCCACCTTGGACTTGCAGCCTTCACATCTGTGAAAAATAAATGGCTGTGACACCCGTCCTGGGTCATCTTCTATGGCAGCCGAAGCCTGAAGCTCTGTTTCCACAAAGGCGGCTCCTTCTCAGGGGCTCAGTTCAGCCTTTAAGGCTGTTGCTCAAAGCTTCCAAGACTCAGACTTATGAGTATTCACGCCATTTTATGACAAATTTGGTTATGCCAGGGAGATGGAAGGAGCCAGGCTGGGGCTCCCAGGCTGAGGGGAGGGCGGCCTCAGGGGTGGATGGAGGTCACTCCGGAGGCAGAAGGGGCCTCTCACTCACAGGAAGGGCCCAGGAAAGCAGGGGAGACAGCGAGGTGGAGGGAGCAGAGGTGGGGATGAGGGTGGGGGTTGGGGGTGTGACAAGAGGGCAGGAAGTGGGGCAGGAGGGAGGGCAGGAGGGCTCGGCCAGGAGGGGACCTGCTCTGGACAGAGGGGAGGCCTCAGGAGGATGAGCAGGAGGTGAGAGGAGAGAGGTGATGAGGCCGGAGGGAGACCCTCACCTGAGAACCTCCCCCAGCGTGATGCGCAGTAATGTGTAATGTTTAGGCAGCGCATTCCAAGGCTTGAATGGCTTTCCTTGGTTTTCTACGAAATTGTTCCAACAGTGTTGAAATTCTGAGAAAAAGAAGAGAGAACGCAGTCACACCCAGCTGGCCTCTCTTTGTGACCCTGGGACCCTCCCCTCCCAGACCTACTCCGGGATGTTAGTTACACTCAGTGCCAGACCTGACCCCACAGGCTCCCCTGGGACACTTGGCGTCTGCTGGCATCACAGACCCACAGGTAGGTGTGGGAGGCACTCATCGCAGATCCTCACGCAGTCCCTCTCACACCCCTGAACCCCCACTTCTCACCGCCATAACTCATGATCTTCATGGTGGCATGAGGACTGTCTCTCCTCTGACACAGTCTGCGAAGCTCCTTCTGGTAATGTGGGTCCCAGAAGTAGTAGAGGCGGGCCACGAAGATGGTCAGGGTGACCTTCCCGTCCTTGGCCAGGAACTCGGCCATGTTCCTTGCACACACTGGGCAGGGGCTCCAGGACACAAACCAGGTGACGTCGTACTCCTGGTCACTACGCAGCTTCCAGTTGCGGAACCAGTGGAGGAATCTCATCTCTGGGTGGTGTTGAGGCTTCAAATAGACCTGGGAGAAGAGGAGGGGGCAGGGGAAGCTGTGGGACACTGAGCAGGAGTGCAGGGGTGGGGCAGGGGGAGGAGGGGCCAGGACGGAGCCCAGGGGAGCTTCATTGAAGCTCCTTTCCTCCATCCCTCCTGTTTGGTTTGAGTGTCTGCTCCAAAGCTCATGTTCAGGGTTAATTGCTATTGTAACGGCCTTAAGAGGTGGCACTGACACTCGACTATGAGGCTGTGGGGGCTACACCTTTGAGGGTGACTTCAGCCCCTCTCTCTGTCTTTTCCCCTCCAGCTGGAGGGGCAGCGTGTCAGACTAAACTCCTGCTTCCTCTGTCCCCATGTGGTGGAGCAGCAGTGACTCCACATCCCAGGCCGCTCTGTCTGCAGCATCCCCTGAGCTTCCCCAACAACCTTCACCCCCACGTGACGGTGCAGCTCACAGGCCCCGGAAACTTGCTGGTGCCTTGACATTGGACTTCCCAGAGTCCAGAACTGGAGCCAACGCATTTCTGTTCATTGTAAATTTCCCCGTCTCAGTCATGCCGTTGAAGCATCACAGGGTGCACTGAGACACGTGCTTCCCTTCTGTTGGTAGTTTTCCTGGCCCTGTTCACAGCCTCATGCTTGAATTCTGGCATCCATTCTCCCAGGCATCCATTCACCAGACATACTCAGTCCCAGCTGTGGCCTAGCCCTCTGGGGTCGGCCTCGTTGCTGCCTGCCATCTGCTGGGGAGGCCGCTGGACCTGTGCTGTCCCATGTCAGGAGTTGGGCACTGGCCACAGGGGCTACAGAGCATGTGAAATGGAGCCTGATGAGAGACTTGGCCACAAGAAAAATACGGCACTAATTTCTGTATCTCTCTCTCTCTCTCTCTCTCTCTCTCTCTATTTCTTTCTCTCTCTCTCTCTCTTTGAGTAAGAGTTTCGTCTTGTTGCCCAGGCTGGTGTGCAATGGTGTAATCTCGGCTTCCCACAACCTCTGCCTTATGGGTTCAAGCGATTATCCTGCCTCAGCCTCTTGAGTATCTGGGATTACAGGTGCCCACCACCACGCCTGGCTAACTTTTTTGTATTTTTAGTAGAGACTGTGTTTCACCATGTTGGCTAGGCTGGTTTTGAACATCTAACCTCAGGTGATCTGCCTGCCTCAGCCTCCCAAAGTGCTGGGATTACAGGCAGAAGCCACTGTGCGTGGCCTACACCACTCATTTCAAAGACTCAGTGTGAGAAGAAAAAGAAATTTCACTATCTTGTGAAGAATTTTATGTTAATTAATGTTGAAGTAATATGTTAGCTACATTGGATTAAATAAAACATCAAAATTAGGCTGAGCACGGTGAGTCTGATGCGACAGATTGCCTGAACCCAGGAGTTGGAGACTTCTGTGAGCCGAGATGCCTCCATTGCACTCTAGCCTGGGCAACAAGAGTGAAACTCCATCTCAAAAAAAAAGAAAAGAAAAGAATAAAAAGGCCCTGTGAAGAGTCAAACCCCCTCCACAATCTGATGGTCAAGCAGGAAGGTCAAGCAGAAAGGTCAGGCAGGAAGGTCAAGTAGGAAAGTCAAGCAGGAAGGTCAAGCAGGAAAGTCAAGCAGGAAAGTCAAGCAGGAAGGTCAAGCAGGAAGGTCAAGCAGGAAAGTCAAGCAGGAAGGTCAAGCAGGAAGGTAAAGCAGGAAAGTCAAGCAGGAAAGTCAAGCAGGAAAGTCAAGCAGGAAGGTCAAGCAGGAAAGTCAAGCAGGAAGGTCAGGTAGGAAGGTCAAACTGGAAGGACAGGGCCACGGACTTGAAAAACGTGGGAGAAAAGTACACACTGGATAGCCCACCGCAGGGCATTTCACTGATCAGTGCGTGCTTTGCTTCCCCAGCTGGCTTAGCTCCTGCCCACAAATTAATTGGAGTCTGGGGGGTACCTCGCCTTCAAAGATATCTGCAACCAAAAGGGGCCTTGAGTGGTCGTTTGTTTTCATTTTCACTTCGTAGCACAGCCAGATGGTGTTCCGATGAGAAAGGATGGGTCTATTATAAAAGTCATCAAAGAATGTGCCTGGATCCATTTGCACCACTGTGTTTCTGAAGACACAAGAGAGAAACCAGCCAATGCGGACAGTGCTCCCTGGAGCCCTCCAGATTGATGTCCTCTCCACACAGCTCCCTGGACAACCCTGGGCCGCCCCCATCCCTCCACAGGCCTGAGAATTTCTACTGCCTTCCCAGGCAGGAAGACCAGGGAGAGAACAAGAGAAGGAGATGGTGGCAGGGGCAGCAGGGCCAGGGTGACGTCTCCCTGCTCAGGGCCCAGCTCTGGTCTTTCCATGGGTACATTCTTCACTCTCCTAGTACTTCTGCCCACCCACTCTCCAAACCATTAGGAAAATGCAAAAGAGAATAAAGTTCTTGCCTGAGAGTTATGGTTCATGCCTGTCATCCCAGCACTTTGGGAGGCCGAGGCAGGCAGATCACTTGAGGTCAGGAGTTTGAGACCAGCCTGGCCAACATGGTGAAACCCAGTCTCTACTAAAAATACAGAAAAATGAGCCAGGCCTAGTGGCAGGTGCCTGTAATCCCAGATACTCCGGAGGCTGAGGCAGGAGAATTGCTGGAAACGCCAGTCGGAGGTTGCAGTGAGCTGAGATGGCGCCACTGCACTCCAGCCTAGGTGACAAGAGTGAAATTCTGTCTAAAAAAAAAAAAAAAAAATGAAACTCCTCACCTCCAAATGATAGCTTTTAACCTTTCAGCTCAGTTCCTTCCTGACATTTCAACTCTGTATATTATTATTTTTAGATCATAGCAGAACTGAAACCTGAGGCCCAGACCACTCTTGTAAGTGCTGTGAGGTTCTGAGCTCATGTGATGATGACCTGGGCCTACAGGGGCCATTCCCATTTTACAGAGGAGGTGCCAGAGGCGCAGAGGGCGGGGTAACCTGCCCAGAACATGGAGCTGGGTGGATGGAGCTGGGGCCCCTTTCCAGGCCAGCCCTGTCCAGCCTCTGCAACACAGGCCCTGCAGGAGGGAGCCACTGGGGACTGAGCTCTCTTCTCGCTACATTTTAAAATAAGAGCATTTCTCCTGCTCATTGAGTTTTTCCCTATATTTCAAGTTATGGCGATTGTGGAGGAAGAGCATGTGTTTGGGGTCATCTGCATCCTCCTGTGCCCACAGTGGAGACATCCTTGGGAGGGATGATTTATCTTGTGCTTCAGAGACCATTCCCTCCCCGACACCCTCACATAAGACTTTGTATTTATTTTTTTATTTTTTTGAGACGGAGTTTCCCTCTTGTTACCCAGGCTGGAGTGCAATGGCGCGATCTCGGCTCACTGCAACCTTCGCCTCCTGGGTTCAGGCAATTCTCCTGCCTCAGCCTCCTGAGTAGCTGGGATTACAGGCACGTGCCACCATGCCCAGCTAATTTTTTTGTATTTTTAGTAGAGATGGGGTTTCACCATGTTGACCAGGATGGTCTCGATCTCTTGACCTTGTGATCCACCCGCCTCGGCCTCCCAAAGTGCTGGGACTACAGGCTTGAGCCACCGCGCCCGGCCAAGACTTTGTATTTAAACAAAGTAAATCTTACAGAAAGTTCATCAAAGCACTGTGAATTAAATTCCATATTGATCCAATCATCCTTTAGTTCAGTTCTCCCCGTTCCAGAGCCCAAGAATGGTGGGAAGCACACACAGGGAGCACCCTCCCAAGGTGGGGAGCATCAGCCTGGCCATAACTTTCAGGGGAGAGTCTCAGCAGGGGGCCTGGGCTGGGACAGGTGGGGGAGGCAGCCCATTCAGAAGCAGCAATGGGGCAACCACACAGCAGAGCATAGAGCCTGGCTGGGAGTGGGGTTGGCACGGGAGCCAGAGGAGAGGGAGCCCAGGCCTGGGGATGGGGCAGGGGCAAGGGAAGGCCAGGGCTGTGACCCGGCAGGGCCGCCAGGCAGGAAGGAGCAGCAGCGGAGGGCAGAGGGGGCAGCGGTACCTGATCTGTGCTTCTGGCCACAGCTTCCTTGGCAGACTTGTCCCTGCTTGTCTGGGGCACTAAGTTTCACTTTTGTTTCCAGGGCCCTTGCTGTGAGGCAGCTCTCCCAAAAGTCACCTCCCAGGGCCTGGTGAAGTGGCTCCACCCTATTCCTTTTGGGGGACTAGGTGGGAGGGCCTGGGGTGCTTTAGATTCTTGGGGCTCCTTTCTCTACTTTCCTCAGGCTTGGCAGGGGAACCCTGATGGAGACAGCTCATCTCCCCTCCTCCCAACCCCAACACCTCCCCAGGTACAGTTTGCAAATTAATAAAGGAATTGAAGGCGGGTTGGGGTGCCTGTAATCCCAGCACTTTGGGAGGCTGAGGCGGGTGCATCACCTGAGGTCAGCAGTTCGAGACCAACCCGGCCAATTGTACCCCAGCCTGGGCAACAAGAGTGAGATTCCACCTCAAAAAATAAAACAAATGAAAGGAATTGAAGCCATAGAGGGGAACGTGGATCCAGACCAGGGCTGATTCCACAGGCAAGATGCCACTCTCCTGGTGGATAGGGCAGGCTGCCGCCCCCTCCTAGCACCCCGCTGACCTTCCTTTGTCATTCAGCCTCCTGGGAGGACTCTGGGCCTGGTGTGAAATGAGAAATGGGGTCAGGGCTAGTACTGCATCTCCAGCAGAGCCTGTGCCCATTACCTAGCCCAGTCCCCAGACAGCACTGGGAGAGAAAGATAGTGATCCTGACAGTCAGAGGAGGTCCCAAGCACAGAGAGGCTGACGCACTGTCCCAGGTCACATAGCAAATCAACAGCAGAGCTGGAGTGCTGGTCAGGGCTTCCTGTGCCATCTCTCTCCTGCAGCTAGCTACTTTGAGGTCCACCCCACACACCCTGACAGCCCCCCAGACCCTGCATGGCCCCTGGGGTCACAGGAGCTTGGGTGGGCATTTAGAAGGTTCCTGAGAATGGTGTCCCCTCCACCCTATCTGTCCTAATGTTGGGGCTACAGTCCATGGAAGATTCCAGAATGAGCAGGGTCCTGCCAGGAGAGACATCAGAACTACACACTGCAATGCTGGTTAATCAGAGAGCTGAGTCTCCCAGGCTGAGAAGCAGGGAGGATGGAAAGGAGGGTGGAACCCTTTCCTGGTTTTTCCCGAAGGCAGCATTCCCACTGCTCCTCCAGTGAATTCCTTCAGCAGAGACCCCGTGGTGTCGAGGATTGGCCTTGGCTTAGGTGTTGTCTCCAGGAGGGGAGGCCTGGCCTGGCCGCTGTGGCCTGTGTTTGTTGCTGGAAAAGGAGACCCGATCCGGAGTCCAAGAGTGGGTTCTTAGAACTCTTACAGGAAAGGACTTGAGGTGAGCCACAGGGTGCGATGAAGTTATGATCAGTTATTAGAAGCTCCTGCACTACAGACTAGGGACCCCTCAGAAGGCAGAAGGAAGAATGCCCTGGTTTTAAGCTTTTTTCTTTCTTTTTTTTTTGAGAGGGAGTCTTGCACTGTCACCAGGATGCAGTGCAATGGCACGATCTCGGCTCACTGCAACCTCCGCCACCTAGGTTCAAGCAATTCTCCTGCCTCAGCCTCCTGAGTAGCTAGGACTATAGGTGTGCACCCACACTTGGCTAATTTTCATCTTTTTAGTAGAGACGTGTTGGCCAGGCTGGTCTCGAACTCTTGATCTCAAGTGATGCACCCGCCTCAGCCTCCCAAAGTGCTGGAATTACAAGCACCCCAACCTGCCTTCAATTCCTTTCTTTATTAACTTGCAAACTGTGCCTGGGGAGGTATTGGGGTTGGGAGGAGGGGAGATGAGCTGTCTCCATCAGGGTTCCCCTGCCAAGCCTGAGGAAAGTAGAGAAAGGAGCCCCAAGAATCTAAAGCACCCCAGGCCCTCCCACCTAGTCCCCCAAAAGGAATAGGGTGGAGCCACTTCACCAGGCCCTGGGAGGTGACTTTTGGGAGAGCTGCCTCACAGCAAGGGCCCTGGAAACAAAAGTGAAACTTAGTGCCCCAGACAAGCAGGGACAAGTCTGCCAAGGAAGCTGTGGCCAGAAGCACAGATCAGGTACCGCTGCCCCCTCTGCCCTCCGCTGCTGCTCCTTCCTGCCTGGCGGCCCTGCCGGGTCACAGCCCTGGCCTTCCCTTGCCCCTGCCCCATCCCCAGGCCTGGGCTCCCTCTCCTCTGGCTCCCGTGCCAACCCCACTCCCAGCCAGGCTCTATGCTCTGCTGTGTGGTTGCCCCATTGCTGCTTCTGAATGGGCTGCCTCCCCCACCTGTCCCAGCCCAGGCCCCCTGCTGAGACTCTCCCCTGAAAGTTATGGCCAGGCTGATGCTCCCCACCTTGGGAGGGTGCTCCCTGTGTGTGCTTCCCACCATTCTTGGGCTCTGGAACGGGGAGAACTGAACTAAAGGATGATTGGATCAATATGGAATTTAATTCACAGTGCTTTGATGAACTTTCTGTAAGATTTACTTTGTTTTAAATACAAAGTCTTACGTGAGGGTGTCGGGGAGGGAATGGTCTCTGAAGCACAAGATAAATCATCCCTCCCAAGGATGTCTCCACTGTGGGCACAGGAGGATGCAGATGACCCCAAACACATGCTCTTCCTCCACAATCGCCATAACTTGAAATATAGGGAAAAACTCAATGATCAGGAGAAATGCTTTTACTTGAAACTTTAGTGTAAAGAGAGTCCAATCCACAATGGCTTCCTCCTGCAGGGCCCGTGCTACAGAGGCTGGACAGGGCTGGCCTGGAAAGAGGCCCCAGCTCCGTGTCCTGGGCAGGTTACTCTGCCTCTCTGTGCCTCTGGCACATCCTCTGTAAGATAGGAATGGCCCCTGCAGGCCCAGGTCAGCATCACAGGAGCTCAGATCCTTGCAGTACTTAGAAGGGTGGGCCTCGGAGTGGAGGTGCTATCCTGATTTTTTTTTTTTCAATGACAGGCCTTGCTAGGCACAATGGCTCATGCCTGGAATCCCAAAACTCTGGGAAGCTGAGAGGGGAGGATCACCAGAGGCCAAGAGTTCCAGACCAGCCTGGGCAACATAGGGAGACCCCTTATGTACTAAAACTAAGAAAAATAATAATAACATGAATAGGTAAAATGCCAGAAATTAATTGAACTTAAATATTAAGAGCTCTTATTTTGAAGTGGAGTACTTTATTCACTTCTCTTATTTTTAATGGGTTCGAGGATAGGTGGCAGAAATACTGGGAGGATGAGGGGTCTGCCCCGGAAAGACCAGAGTTAGGCCTGAGCTGGGAGAGGTCACCTTGGCCCTGCTGCCCCTGCCCTGCCAGCATCCCCTCCTCTTCCCCTCTCCCCGGTCTTCCTGCTTGGGAAGGCTGCAGAAATTATCAGGACTAGGAGGCTTGAAATCCTCAGAGGTTTTCCAGAAAGCAGAATAGAAAGTAGAAGGGTAGGAGGCCAGGCGCGGTGGCTCAAGCCTCTAATCCCAGCACTTTGGGAGGCCGAGGCGGGTGGATCACGAGGTCAAGAGATCGAGACCATCTTGGTCAACATGGTGAAACCCCGTCTCTACCAAAGATACAAAACATTAGCTGGGCGTGGTGGCTCGTGCCTGTAATCCCAGCTACTCAGGAGGCTGAGGCAGGAGAATTGCCTAGACCCAGGAGGCGGAGGTTGCGGTGAGCCGAGATTGCACCATAGCACTCCAGCCTGGGTAACAAAAGTAAAACTCCGTCTCAAAAAAAAAAAAAAAAAGAAAGTAGAAGGGTAACCACCAATCAGAGAAGCCAGAGAAAGGCGCTCAGGCCTGCAGGGAGACAATGAGCACAGGGGTCTGGGCCCACAGGAACACACTTTGCAATATAATATTACATTTTAAAAAGAAAGATCCTGGCCGGGGCGGTGGCTATAATCCCAACACTTTGGGAGGCCGAGGAGGGCAGATCACCTGAGGTCAGGAGTTCAAGACCAGCATAGTGAAACCCTGTCTCTAATAAAAACACAAAAATTAGCCGGGTGTGGCGGCAGGCATCTATAATCCCAGCTACTTGGGAGGCTGAGTCAGGAGAATCGCTTGAACCTGGAAGGTGGAGGTTGCAGTGAGCCGAGATGAAGCCACTGCACTCCAGGCTAGGTGACAGAGTGAGACTCCGTCTCAAAACAAAACAAAACAAAACAAAACAGTTGGGTTTGAAAAGTGGCTTGAGCCTGGGGTGACTCCAGAAGGTGCTCCCTGCATCTCTGGTTTTCCCCTTTCTGTTGCACAGAAACGTGATGTCTCTGCTAACAGCCGAAACATTCAGCTTACAGTTTAACAACCGGCGGCAGCGGCGGAAGAAAGGGACTTACTACCCCAAGAGGACATACTTGTGTTACCAGCTGACACCGCGGAATGGCTCCACGCCTACTAGAGGCTACTTTAAAAACAAGGTGCCACACGGGCTCTCTGGGCACAGGACTGGCAGGGGCTAACCCCATCCAATGTGTGCGGAAAATACATAAAATGCCTGCCTAGAAATTTCTCACTTGCTGACTTAACACCCTCTGTGTTTTCCTAACCCTCGGTCCCTGCCTGCGTTTTGGCTTAGCTGGGTCTGAGTGGCCCAGCTTCCCTGGGATGCTCCCCATTCCTTTCCATCCCCTGACCTCCCAAGAAGCCATCCCTTCTGTAGAATCCCTTCTGTAGAATGCTCCTTCCGCCCCGCTTTGAGGAAGCTGACATTTACTCATTCTCCGGATCTCAGCTCAGTCACCACTTTGGGGAAGCTGAGGGGCGGTGCCATGGTCTGAGTGCAGCTCCATCACATCTCTGCCTTCTGTTCTGCTGCCTGCCCCGACCTGCCCTGCCTCCTCCCCTGGACCCCCTCACCCCTGGCTCTCACGTGCTTTTTAGGATCCCCAGGTTGGACACAGTCTCCTGGGCGAGTGTCCAAACGCAAAGCTCTTCTTTGGGACTGGGGCACGGAGGTGTCCTCTCCTCCTCTGGACGCTGGATCTTTGTCCAATTTAGAGAAAGCCGTGGAAATCCCGGGACAAATGAATTAACACAGGGGTGCCTGAGTGCAGGGCTGTATAAACCAAGAAAGGCAGGAAGTGGGTGCTTGCCAGGCCACACACTAGAAAGTGCACTGGACAGACCCCTCCGCTCCCCCAGCCCCGTCCCAGCCCCCTTCCCCTCTGCCACCAGGCATGTGAATCCTGGCCTCTGTCTTCTTACCTTTCTTCTCTCTGTTTGGGACCCTCTCCAGAAAAACTGCCATGTAGAAATTTGCTTTATTGATAAGATTGCATCCATGGAACTGGACAAAACCCAGTGCTACGACGTCACCTGTTACCTCACGTGGAGCCCCTGTCCCTCCTGTGCCCAGAAGCTGGCTGCCTTCGCCAAGGCTCAAGACCATCTGAACCTGCGCATCTTCGCCTCCCGCCTGTACTACCACTGGCGCCGGAGCTACCAGAAGGGGCTGCAGCTTCTGTGGGAATCCCAGATCCCCGTGGAGGTCATGGGCCTCCCAGGTAGGAAGGAGGCTTTGCAGTTCCAAGAGGCCAAAACCGCGGGGTAGCGGTGGGCTTGGGGTTGGGGGGGGATCTGTGGGAGGTCAGGAAGGAAGGATTGTGGTCCAGTTGAGGGCCAAGATCCGATGCCACCCAGGAGGGAGAATTCCCCTGAGAGAGCACTGTCCAGGGAGAGGAAGAGAGGAGATGGGAAAGGAAGGAGGAGCTCCTGGCGCTGCAGCTGCTGCCCTGGAGCCTGGCTGCTTTCTCCTCTTCCATCTCAGAGTTTACTGACTGCTGGGAAAACTTTGTGGATCACGGGAAACCGCCTCCCTTCAACCCCTCTGAGAAGTTACAGAAGCTAGGTGAAGCAAGTCAATCCATAAAGAGACGGCTGGAGAGGATAAAGGTGAGACGCTGTCCTGCTGCTGCCCACTGCCTCCTCACGGCCCGCCTCGGCCCCACTCCTGATCATGCCTCTGCCCACTGCTCTTCCCCCTACTTTTTTTTTCTTTTATATTTATTTTATTCCATACACCCTATAATAAAATACCACAGACTGGGTGATTCATAAACAATAGAAATTTACTGTCACAGCACCAGTGGGCGGGTCGTCAGAGATCAAGACACTGGCAGACTTGGTGTCTGGTGAGGGCCACTCTCTGCTTCCAAGGTGGTGCCTTGCTGCTGCACCCTCCACAGGGGTGGAGCACTGTATCCTCACATCGTGGATGGGGGAAGGGCAAGTGAGCCAATGCCTGAATGAAGCCTGTCGGTAACCCCCGACATGAGCAGCACCAAGGAAGGAGAGCTCTGCAAATCTCAGGCACAATTAGTGCCTGAAGACTATCTTAGCTTATAGTGTTATTAAATTACTCAGCTATTTCCTTTATATAATCTTTTTATATAATCATATAGTAGCTTACTGCTTAATATATCTAGCTTATATAAACATACTTAGTACTTATATCTAGCATACTTAGTTCCATATAATCTTTCTATGTAGTCATATAAATATTGTAGTCTATATAATCATATAGGTATTGTAGTCAGAGCTGTACCGACACATTTAGCGCTGATTTATATAATCCTTCCATATAACTATATGGTAGTCTGTAGTAGGAGGAATGCCTAGAGCAGTCACAAAGTGGAAGCAGTACATGGGAAAACAGCCAGACCAGGACGAGAACCAAAGACCCAGGCATTGGCGTCCCTGCCTGAAAGGGCATTCGCTGTATGGCAGGCTTGGAACAAGAGCCTCTCCTCTTGATAAAGGAGTTGTAGTACCTTGCTTCCAGTTCCTGTGGAAAGCAGGCCTCAGGCCTGAGATCCTGCAAATAACCAAGGGAGAAGAACCCCTCTGGTGTGACCAGTCACGGCAGGTGTACACTCTGTCAGCCTTTTCTCACTTCTTTGCTAGCTCAAATCATCCTCCCATAAATATCTTAGAGAAGAGCACAAGTCTATCAGCTCCCACCACATTGGCTTACAGTATCCTTCTATTAGAAATCCTTTGAAGTCTCCAGCCCCCAGATAAGAAGTGTTGCACACGACACCTGTTGCACACAGCCCACCTCCTTGCCTCTGTGACCTAATGGGGGTGGACCCCTTTTCTGTACATGATCCTCTACTACTGTGCACAGCATGGCCCCCTACTGCACATGGCCCCCTACTGCTCATGGACCCCCTCTCTTCCCAGGTGACATAATGGGGTGGCCTTCTCACCTACTACCCACGTGATTATGTATGCCCTATCACTAAGCCTATAGATGACCTCACTCACAACCCTACCCCCTTGCCTTGTACATAATAAATACAGATACTTCTGGACATTTGGGGCCTCACCTGTCTCCTCTCATAGGTGGCATGGCCCCCGAGTCCAGCTGCTCTTCTCGAGTTCTTCAGTGTTCTATCTCTTCTCTGATCCTGTGCCTCAACACAGCATAAGGGACACCCCACGACCCTGTGGGGCCAACAGCCCTACAGAAGCCTCTTGTATAAGGGCCTTAATCCTGTTCATGAGGCAGGGGCCCTCATGGCTTAGTCACCCCCTAAGGGCCCCCATCTTAATACCATCACATTGGCAACACCTGGATTTCAGAGGGGACACATTCAAACCATAACACCCAGGATTTATGGACGTTTTTCTCTCTTTTTTTTTTTTCTTTTTGAGACAGAGTCTCGCTCTTTCACCCAGGCTGGAGTGAAGTGGCACGATCTCGCCTCACTGCAACCTCCGCCCCCCAAGGGGGGAGGTTGGAGCAAGAGCCTCTCCTTTTGATAAAGGAGTTGTAGTACCTTGCATCCAGTTCCTGTGGAAAGTAGGCCTTAGGCCTGAGATCCCGCAAATAACTAAGGGAGAAGAACCCCATTGGGTATCAGTGCTACGCACCCACATTGGAGAAACAAAGGGTATTCCAGAGGACATGAGTCCAGTGTTAAGCATGGACTCCTGGAGAACCAGGACGGCCGCCTCGTCTTTCATTCCTGAGTCCTTAAAGCTTTTGTTACTAAAGATTCTGCATTCCATGACCCATCATGGAAGAAATAAAATAATCCACATTGAATATATTGATGTAGTGACTTATAAATTGAGGAAATCGTTTATTTTTATTTATTTATTTTTGAGATGGAGTTTTGCTCTTGTTGCCCAGGCTGGAGTGCAATGGCATGATCTCGGCTCACTGCAACCTCCACCTCCCAGATATCAGTTGAAGCAATTCTCCTACCTCAGCCTCCCAAGTAGCTGGGATTACAGGCATGAGCCACCATGCCCAACTAATTTTTGTATTTTTTAGTAGAGACGGGGTTTCACCATATTGGCCAGGATGGCCTTGAACTCCTGACCACGTGATCTGCCCACCTTGGTCTCCCTGAAGTGCTGGGATTACAGGCCTAAACCACCACACTCCCCTCCACCTGCCAATAGAGATTCTTTACAGATGCAAATTTTCCCTCACAAAGGACAGCTTTTGCAGGGCCATTTCAAAACATGACAAAGAAATATGTTTTGAGGTAAAATATTTTTATTTTCTTCGTTGTTTCATAATGCTTTGCCAGAGTCAGGTTGGAAAGTAAGTCATGATATATAAGGTTAAATAAAACCCATCTTAAAAGAAATTATGATTTGTAGAGCATGACTCCATAGACCCTTCAGATAGGAATTTGAGCAAGATGAAAAAAATCACAGTACAGTTTTCATCACGTGTGTAACAAAGTGTCCATTGTCCCCTGCACCTATAATAAAAATTTAAAAAATAGGCCAGGCGCGGTGGCTCACGCTTGTGATCCCAGCATTTTGGGAGGCCAAGGCGGGTGGATCACCTGAGGTCAGGAGACCAGCCTGATCGACACGGAGAAACCCTGTCTCTACTAAAAATACAAAATTAGCTGGGCGTGGTGGCTTATGCCTGTAATCCCAGCTACTCAGGAGGCTGAGGAAGGAGAATCGCTTGAACCTGGGAGCCACTGCACTCCAGCCTGGGCAACAAGAGCAAGACTCTGCCTCAAACAAACAAAAAGTTTAAAAAATAAAGTATTTTTAAAAAGAAAATGTGGTATATACAAACAGTAGACTATTAGGAGACTCTGTCATATGCTATGAAATAAGTGGTATAGGCACAGCAGAATATTATTCAACCTTTAAAAGGGAGATTCTGTTATACACCACAAAACAGGCAAACCTGGAGAATATTTTGCGAAGTGAAATAAGCCAATCATAAAAAGACAAATACTGCATGATCCCACCTCCTTGAGTTGTCTAGAACAGTCAAAAGTTAAGGAACCAGAATGTAGAAGGAGGGCTGTCAGGGGCCGAGGAAAGGGGACATTGACGGTTGTCATTCAATGAGTATAGAGTTTCAGTTTTGCGGCTGGGCGCTGTGGCTCACACCTGTAATCCCAGCACTTTGGGAGGCTGAGGGGTGCCTCGGTCAAGAGATCAAGACCATCATGGCCAACATGGTGAAACCCTGTCTCTACTAAAACCACAACATTTAGCTAGGTGTGGTGGTGGGAGCCAGTAGTCCCAGCTAGCTGAGACGGGAGAGAATCACTTGAACCCAAGAGGCGGAAGTTGCAGTGAGCCGAGATTGCGCCACTGCACTCCAGACAGAGCAAGACTCTGTCTCGAAAAAAAAAAAAAAAAAAAAAAAAAAAAAAAGGTTCAGTTTCACAAGATGAAAAAGCTCTAGAGATCTGTCACCAAACAATGTAAGTATAGTTAGCAACACTGGGCTGGGAGAGGTGGAATCCCAGCCTCCCTGAGGAGGGTGAATTGCTGGAGCTCAGGAGTTCAAGACAAGCCTGGGCAACATGGTGAAACCTGTCTCTACCAAAAAGACAAAAAAAAAAAGCTGGGCATGGTGGCATGTGCCTGTAGTCCGAGCTACACAGGAGACTGAGGTGGAAGGATCCCTGGAGCCCGGGAGGTGGAGGTCGCATTGAACTGAGATTGCATCACCACATGACACAGGGAGACCCCATCTTCAAAAAAAAAAAAAAGCAAAAACAAAAAACACTGAACTGTACACTTAAAAATGGTTAGGAGGCTTTCTGTAATGGTTCACACCTATATTCCCAGAATTTATAGTGTGTAGGGCATGACACCCCAGACTTCTTAGGTAGGAATTTGGGCAAGATGAAAGCATCAGAGCTTAGACCACACAAAGCAGAGGAATAGAAGAAAAGGCATACTAATTTATTAACAGGTCCATGAGGGAGGTCGACAGAGGGAGCACTCTGACCCCACAAAGACCTGCAGCAGCTCATGTATCACAAGGTTACAGAAAGATTTCGGGCTTGGATCCTGGCAAAACAGGTTATGGGAAGGGGAGAAGAGGAGGTCTGGCTAGCAAAGGTGGTCTTATTATGTAGATGAAACCTCACAGGTAGCAATCCCTGGAGGAAAAAGATGGTAAATGTTTCTTTCAGACCTTCAGGGTGTCAGACCCTCAGTTCCTCTTTCCTAGATCTGGACAACGGAGGGCCTCAGAGAAAGCCAGCCTGCAGCAATGAAGATTTTCTACAGATACAAATCTCCCCCACAAAACGCTGCTTTGGCCGGTGGCTCAAGCTAAGGCAGGTGGATCATCTGAGGTCAGGAGTTCAAGACCAGCCTGGTCAACTGGGCAAAACCCCATCTCTACTAAAAATACAAAAAAAAAAAAAAAAAAAAAAAAGAAAAGAAAAGAAAAAAAGAAAAAAATAGCCAAGGATGGTGGTAGGTGCCTGTAATCCCAGCTACTCGGGAGGCGGAGGCAGGAGAATCACCAGAATCCAGGAGGTGGAGGTTGCAGTGAGTGGAGATCATGTCACTGCACTCCAGCCTAGAGGACAGAGTGAAATTCAGTCTCAAAATAATAATGATAATAAAAGACCACTTTGCAAGGCTGCTTCTGTTTGGAGGAGCAGCCATCTCAAAATATATCGAAGAAGGATTTTTGATTCCTTTACTAGCCTTTCAGGTCTCAGAAGCAGACAGATGATGGATAGATGGATGGCTAGATGAATAGATGGACAGATAGATAGATAGGCAGGTAGAGATGAGGTCTAAGCTCTGATTTTCTCTTTTTTTTTTTTTTTTTTTTTTGAGACGGAGTTTCGCTCTTGTTACCCAGGCTGGAGTGCAATGGCGCGATCTCGGCTCACCGCAACCTCCACCTCCTGGGTTCAAGCAATTCTCCTGCCTCAGCCTCCTGAGTAGCTGGGATTACAGGCACATACCACCATGCCCAGCTAATTTTTTGTATTTTTAGTAGAGACAGGGTTTCACCGTGTTGACCAGGATGGTCTCGATCTCTTGACCTCGTGATCCACCTGCCTCGGCCTCCCAAAGTTGGGATTACAGGCTTGAGCCATCTCTCTTTTTTTTAATCTTGCCCAAATTCCTAAGGGGTCTGGGGAGTCATGTCCTATAAACCATAAATTCTCATCAGATGGGTTTTATTTAACCCTCTATCTCCATTACTTTCCAATATGAACAACGAAGGGATTCACCTTGCCTGCTGCCTAGACAGAACTGATTTTTATCAAGACAGGGCAACTGCAATAGAGAAAGAGCAACTCAGAGCAATTGCAGTAGAGAAAGAGTAATTCACACAGAGCTGGCTGTGCAGGAGACTACAGTTTTATTATTATTCAAATCAGTCTCACTGAAAACTCGGGGATCAGAGGTGGGTTTTTTTTGTGTGTTTTCCTCCGTCGTCCAGGCTTGAGTGTTATTGGTGGTAACTCAGAGTCTAGCACCTTTTAAAGGTCTGAGTAGAAAACATTTGTCATCTATTGTCTCGAAGGGCAGCCACTAGGAGATGTCAAAAGAACCTTGGTGTCCACAATCTTTTATCTTTTATTTATTTATTTTGAGATAGTTGCTCTTGTCCCAGGCTGAAGTGCAATGGTGCCATCTCTGCTCACTGCAACCTCTGTCTCCCGGGTGCAAGCAATTCATCTGCCTTAGCCTTTACAGACGTGTGCCATTATGCCCAGCTAATTTTTGTATCTTTAGTAGAGACGGGGTTTCACCATGTTGGCCAGGCTGGTCTAGAACTCTTGACCTCAGGTGATCTGCCCGTCTTGATCTCCCACAGTGATGGGATTACAGACGTGAGCCCCTGAGCCAGGCCTTGATCTCTTAATTAAAAACTAAATTTACTGGAATAACAGGCTTTTATTTTTCTTTTATCATGCAGGACAGAGATGAGTAAAGTCTCAGTGATCCTCTTCAGGGTGGACACAGCCCCCTTTTTAAGTATTTAAGCTCTTAAGGAATATACAAAGATGTTGATTACAACATTATTACCAGGAAATACGATTATCAATTAGAACTGTAGGCTTCTCCTCAAAAGCTAAGACTATTTTCATATTGAGATAATTCGGCAGGACTGGTTTCAGAAGACACAGATCACAAGGACCCCCTGAAAAAACAGGATGTGGTAAAGAAGCCAGGCCAAAACCTGCCAAAACCTCTGATCATCCTTACTGCTCTTTATATGCTAATAAATTCTCGTGCTAAAAGACGCTACCACCAGTGCCTTGACAGTGACAAATGCCATGGTGACGTCTAAAGTGTAAATGGTCTGAAATGGGAAACAGTCCTCAGTTCGGGGAATCCCCCACCTGCTTCCCAGAAAACTCCTGAGTAACTGGATGAATAACTATTGATAACCTTCAAGTCACATTTAAGTCACAGTAAGCAGCC